AGTCCAAGGGGTATGTTGTGTGTGAAGGCACAAAATTTTCAACTCTAAAGCACTTTCCTCCAGATACAGGGTATGTCTTAGCAAGACACTCTAACCGAATTCCTACCGAAAAATATTTTCTTTTAGATACAGAGTACCCTCTAGTCGAGCCCAGGGTACCCGCTAGCGACCATTCAAGTCGTTGTCTTTTATTCCTCAACTGATTTATTTGATTTGATAAGTCTTGACGCAAATGTGTTTCATTTACCTACTCACAACACAACACTTTCAACTGACTTTCAAACGGCCGCCGACCCAAGAACGGACGATTTGGATGAATGGATGAATAAGCGAGTGGATGAGACGGGGCTGAGGTAGCTTCTAGGGTCTGTCTAGGCCTGTGTCCGGGTCTGTCTGTGTTCTTTGCCCTTTTCATTCAAGTTGTTGCAAACAATTTGAAGCCAAGTGATAGGGTCAAAGGGTCAGGGGCAGCACAGCCTTTTTGGTCATTCGATACGGCGCTCATTAAAAATATATATATATTTGGTCTATGCCCCATTTGAATTCCCCAAGTAGAGCATTTGGGTCTAAAAATAGAGCAATAAACGCATTTCGGTCAACATGCGTTGATATATTATGTTTTCTGTTTCTTTGGGCATATCGATAAATATCGATTTTAAGTAATGCTCTTTTGGGCATAGCTCGAAGGGCTAGATACACCAAACTTGGGCTCGCCTTGTTCTTATGTAGAGATAGGGACCCTTTCACTTTCCAGATACTGCGCCAATTTCCCACCAAGTCGATTTAAGATTGAGAGCTAAAAATATCAAGTTCGGACCGTACCGAGCTCAAAAATGTTATATTAATTGCTCACATTAGAGTATACAGCATTCGTATAGTTGACATGGAACTAACGTGTGTTTGACTCGTGCAGCGAAAAGTGGCTGGGGTCATAGGCACACACAGAAAAAGCCACACACATTTAAGCGATTGACATTAATTATGCGTTAAATGGAAAGCACGAAGAACTGTCCACGGCTTGGTCAGCTATCCACAAGACAATATCTTGCTCAACTAATTAGCGTGAATTATGATAGTTTGATTAGAGGATGGGGGACAACTTGAAACTGAGCTGGGCAGTTTTAAATCTAGACGAGCTGTTAAGCGCCGTATCAATGGGCGTTTCAGTATTGTTATCGTTATCGTTATCGATATGTTTTGCTTAGCCAAAAGGCGACTTTGATTGATTGAGCCGACACACAAACACAGACAAACAGACAAAAAGACAGCGCCTGCTTATCCCAGTTAAGACGAAAGCGCCCCAGCCGAGCCAGGCATATCATGTGGACGCTGGTCAACGTCGTTGATCCACAACTTTATGAGCCCCCCAATCGGATATGGCTGCCGCTCGGCTTGTTGTTGTGCGTTTTCTTTTTAACTTGACATTTATCGCTTTATACGCATTTCCTTTTCGCCTGCCAGCCTGCCTGCTTGCCTGTCAGTCAGCTTGTCCACCTCCATCTCCATCTCAGCATCCCGCTTGGTCAGGTCAGCTCGTTCTGTCCGCCTGTTAGTTTGACATGTTTGTTATGTTTATAGAACGATATATTTACCAACTTAATTGGTAGTTATAGACGTTTCAAATAAAATAGCAAGGCGCACAGCAGAAACCGTCGGCCCAAAATAGACTTAACGCAGAAATAAACGGAATGGAGGTCTGGGAAGATGTGAGGGGTAAAGATAATACGACCAGACGAACCAATAAATATCGATTGGAATGGATAGAACAAAATATAATAGAAAACGATATATTGATTAAAAGTGTAATCGACTTAGCGAGATATCGGTTATTGCAATATTTAATAAACTCGTTACGCAGCCTCTAGTCAAAATAGCAGCCTCTAGTCAAAATATAGACTTATCGATCAATAATGCTATCGACTTATCGATATAATATGAGACGCCTGAAACATATTCAACAGATAATTAACAATCAAAGTAAGGAATAAATATCGATTGTATTGGATATTGGATAAAGGATTATATACAAAATTATCGGTTTATCGAAAAATCGATTAATTCGTTACGCAGCCTCCAGTCAAAATAAGGATAGACCGATCAACATTGTCGATTGTTCTTTATCGATTCTTTGATTCAATATTATTATTCAATAATTATATACACAGTAATATCGAAATATCGATTTTTTCCGATATTATATTATATGGAATTACCAGCTTTAAATCTACAAATATCTCAAATTGCATTAATAATAGTTTGAAGATTCAACTAATATGATGAAATATTCAATTCAACTCGAATTACTTATCAAATAAATATTTATCGATAAATGTCAAATGTAGCCTTCGCTCATTTGGTGCACATTTTCGAATCAGCTTCTGTTCAGAATAGGCGCGCCCCAACTTGACGCCCAAACCCTTTAGAGGCTGAGAACCGGACCCGCCCTAAAACTGGCAAAGCTTTTCCCCTGATACCTTTGCGGCACAGCTCTAGAGGCAGGCAGGCAGGCAAATGATTGTCATTGTCCGTTTTATGTTTCATTGTTGTCATTGGCGTGTTGTGTGCGTGTGTGTGTTGTTGTTCTTGAATTTTGTATTTGTATTAGTGAGTGCTTTTGGCATTTTTCGCAGCGGCTGTTTAATTGATGCGCTCCGTTCTTGAACTCATAAATTTCACTTGTCTTTCTCACCCCCCCCCCCCCTCTCTCGCTCTCCTACGCTCACTCTCGCCCGCTTTCATTTCTCTGTTACAACAATAAAAATCAAATTTAATACAAAATTAAATCAAGTTTGTTCGGCTTCCTTCAGCTGAAGCTTCATTTGCTGACGTTGCGCCTGCTGCGTCTGTTTGTAGTTTTTTGCTTATACCCTGAAATTTTCAGCAAAAGACAAAGGGGCATGCACATTTCTGCCCATAAACTATTTGATACCCGAGCGGGATCAATCAGCAGCTGCATCGGTCTCAGAGCTCGAATCGCGGCTAGAAGCTAAAAGAGAGGTTGCTGGTTCGTATCTTTGAATTGAGCTTTGCTAGCTGGGCAACAGGGTATCAGTTAGTCGTGCTTTGCCCTCAGTTTTTTTTATAATTTTCTTTCATTGTGGCAAGTTGTAGCCGCAGCTGGCACGAAAAATTTCAACTTTTGGCCAAGTCTTCGCTTGTGTCTCTGTCTGTCTGCCTGTGTGTGAGTGTGTGTGTGAGTATGTGTGTGAGTGTGTGTGTGAGTGTGTGTATGAGTGTCTGTATCTTATTTAATTTGGCAGACTGTGATGAGAGGAGCGAAGTATGTTGAGCATAAGATGCCGCCGCATGTTCGTTGACTTTATTTGCTGTGTGTAATAAAATTAAAGCCCTTTAGCTATTGTACTTTGGAGGAGAGAAAAAAAAAAAGGGAAGAAAATACAAATGCAAAAGAACAAATTGTAGCCGCACACATACACGCACACACATGAGCAGCAGAAGAAGGGCAGAGGAGCAGTTGCAGGAACAGGACGAAGACGCCGACGACAGCAGCCAGCAGCTAGGAGCGAACCAACGAGCCATGAATGTTGCTCTTAGTTGTGGATGTGGCCATTAAGTTGGCTTTTTTATAGTCCTAGTTACATGCCGGCGACTAGATGGGCAACGGGGAAAGGGCAGACGGTGGCACGCAAGGGGCGGACATAAACTTTGAGCCGAAGCATATTGAGAATATTCGCGCTGTTCTTTAGCTAGTTTATATCGTATTATATCTTCGACTTTGGTAATGAACTCCAGAGTCCAAAAGAAAGGCTGCCACCATCGAGTCCCTACGATATGCACAAAAAAGCTATATACTCTAAATAAACTAGATGCAAGAGGGTATGCTATTTCTGTGCGAATGCTTGGTAACAGGACGACAAGTTGTACGTCTGTCTACGTCTCTCATATATCATTCAAAGTCCTTATTCGATATCTACTCCCATTGTCATCATATCGATATATATCAGTACTTAGATATGGTTTTCTCAGCATAGCTCTAGGATTATAAGAGCTTCATACGCCGACATTATACACAGATTTAACATCTTTTACTTTTTGATTACTTGCGTTCAGTCCCCTTAAAATTGGAAGAAACTCGGGCTTGGGTGTATGCTCACTCTTGTATGCCACGTTTAGGCATACGTTTAGGAAAATTGCATTGCGATCGGACTCTAAGCACCGAAGATTCATAACCTAGCTAGTATATATGACTGTGCAGGGTATTTTCTAGTCGAGCACTTCATACAAGTAGGTTAAATATTTATCCGTCAGTTGTTTAGAATTGCACACAAATGAGCTGATTTGCCGATTTGCTGATTCATTTCGATTTCATCGAATTTTCAGCTGGGAATTGCAATTGTCACCTCTCAAATTGCAACCCTGGTAGCCGCTTCCTGTGGCTTTCGACCTCTCCCCTCGGGAACATGCTCATGCACATTGTTGTAAATGCATATGAAATACACATTTTCAGGGCACATCCCAAGGGGATGGCAAATGCGTGTGCCTACAATAGCACAGATTGAAAATTAAGCTTATCTCATTTGTGTACAATAGATAATTTTGGTTTCCATTTTTAATAACGCTCCCGTTCCCATTGACCCCATATCAAATCAGGGCTGAGTAAGAGCTCCAAAAGCGAAAAGCTAAAATAATTTATATTCAGAACTTACGAATTTCGGCTGCATTTCGAACAATTGGACAGCCCGCAAGCATACATATGGCGAACAGATGTTAAGGTCCAGCCTAATGGAACCCTCCCCACCAAGAATTGGCCATCTCCCCAATCCACGCCAATAACTTTCTACTCGAACTTATTTAGTCTTACTAAGACAAAAACATTTAATTAACTTACACTTGACATTATTAAAAAACTTTCATGTCACGGCTTGACGGCACTAACAAAGAGCACAAACAAATCGATATTTATCGATTGTTATGCAATTATTTCGAATTTGCATTGCACCTCGCTTTGCTGAGTTTTCTCTCGTTCGGTCGGTACTCACCTCCACAGTGATCCTTGAAGTCGTCACAGCAGTCGCCCAGCTTGAGGCAGGCGTGATCGCAGTAGCATGGCTTGTCGCTCAGATCCTCGATGATCGCATTGACCGGCGCCTTTTGCACCACGCACGACGAGTCGCGTCCGTTGCAGCAGAGCTGCGCTTCCCGGCACGAGCCGCCGGCGGCCAGCGGCAGCTGCTGCCCCACGCCCAGCCAGAGGAGCGCGGCCAGCAACAGTCCGCCCCTGGCGCCCAGGGGGGCGTGACGCATGATACGTTGCGACATTTGCGAGTTCTCGATAAACGATTTCAATGGGCTCTAAATATGGATATATATTTTATATATATGTGACGCAAACACAGACAGTGTATATGTGTGTGGGTGTGTGTGTGTGTGTGTGTGTGTGTATGCAAATGCAATTTACGCCCAAAAGCGGAAATTAAAACTAAAATTGAATTATGGCAATTGTGTGTGCCAGCAGAGACCAGAGCCAACTATCGATAGATACATTGTGGTGTTAAGGGGGATTGCCGAGGGGAAGAATCGGCTGAAAATCAAGCTGAAAGAGCGCAGATACCCTGGACTGAGAGATGGCTGCGGGATGAGCGGCCCAACTGTTCCCGTTTGAGTCATATAATAAAGCAGACACCGATTCAATGCGATATATGTCGAATATAAAGCAGCTCAGTTAAGATATATTGAAAAACACGGATTTCCAGACAAAAACTGACTTTACGACAGGTTCTTTTCATATATGCTATATTAGCGGATGGTAAACAAAATAGTTGCATGCGAACCGCTTTCACGATTATTCCACGCATGCGAGTGGAATTTGCCGAAGCGCCGTCTTCATCAAATTTCAGCTTTCTAGCTTTCTTACGGTTTGGGCTGTGCGTTGTTCATCAATCAGTCAGTCAGTCAGTCAGTCAGTCAGTCAGTCAGTCAGTCAGTCAGTCAGTCAGTTTTATATATAGAGATTATAACTTCGGTGCTTAAAGTCCGTTCTTTATCAAATTTTCACAGCTTCAATATGATGGGTTGCTTAAAAGAAGAAGAGATAGACAGACGGACACTAACAAAGCGACTCAGATCGTCGTACTGGGCAAGAATATATATTTAAAGAGCAGATTTAACGCAAAGGTGGCAACCCTGTCGTTCGCTAGCATTGCTTTTCTCAGGGAATCGAGCAAGTTGATCGGAAAGAACCAACTAGAAAGTGGGTGAAATTGGCTGCAGTTTGTTTTTATAACCGAGTACTAAAAAGTTGTCGATACGTTGTTGTATAAAGTCGTGCTAAAGTTGTCGAGGAACAATTTAAGTTAAATATTAAAATATTGATAGATAGAATTCAAATAAATTGATTCATAGATACATGTGTTACTGATGCAATGATACTTTTTTAATTATTCTTCCCCAATTCCTGTCTCCCTCAATCCCTTCTATTACTGGATATGCCTAGCTGGCAGAGTTGCCAGCCCTACATATATGCGTATACCTAAAGTTTTCGGAAAGGCTTTCCTCTCCATTTTTAGGCACTTTTAACACGTTCAGGTTTTAAGAACTTGATCCTTAAAGAAGTAAATCTTCGACCGAGTCGACTGGATTCGAGCCTTTGGGCTATTTTCCTTGTGACAAAATGCAAATACCCTCGTTCTGGCTGGGGGGCGTAAGGAGAGTATTAGGCCAGAGCAGGCCTTCGATATTGGCAGCATTAGCACAATTTGAACTTCTAGGCGAACAGGCGACTCGATGCAAAGTAGGTCGAGACAAGGTGAACATGCAGGAGGCGCTACCTGGCGCTAAATCAAGTGAAAGGGTTGGGTCGAGGGAGATGGGGGTGTTGGGGGTAGGGCTGCGCATGGGGAGCTGTTTTGCATAAAATATTGAAGCAAACGGCAACAATGGAGTCGCAGAAAAAGGGGCAAACGGCGAATCGATGGCATTCGGCACGGCCCGTCGATTGGCGGGTTGAGGTGTTGGGCAGGTGTAATAAAACAAAGACTTCAATTTTCATAAATCGTTGCGAACTGCAGAAATCGTGAGAAGCGATTGAGAATTTATATTAACAGCTGTGGCAAGAAAAGGTCTGACAAAATCAATCGACTGGAAGTGAATGCCAAAGCGAACGGACTCTCATTGTATCCGTCCGTACAGCTCCCCTCCCGCCCGTCCCTTAAGTGTGTCACTTCAGTTCCGTTTCGGCAAATAAAAATAAAAAGCGGCAAATGATGCAACACTCATTGAAAACATATAAAGATGTATTCACATACATTTATGTCTGCGCAAAAAAAACGGCATTTCAAATGAACTTAAGAATTATAAGATATGAATATCGCGGGCGTTGAACCGGGGGCTTCTCTTGTTCGCCAGGCAGACGCTCTTCCCATAAGCTAATCGTTCCCCGAAGCGCGGCTCAACTTTGAATAGGATTTAAGTTGAGAGGCTACCAAATGGTTTGATTGATTGATTTATCTCTAAGTCCCCCCCTCGAGGCTCTTCTCTACTTTACTCATAAACTTTCCACAGAATTGGACCTAAAATGGAAAGGTCAACAAGAAAACTGGAAACGATCAATCATTAAGAAAAATTTGACTTAATAGAGAAACGCGTTCAGATATTCATTTTGCGGTAGACTTAGATTCATAAATGGATTTTTTCATCCGATTTACCCCATACCGAAGCTCGGATGAGGCCTTTGTCTGAAAAGATTTGATGGATCCAAAGGATCTAACACCTATAAACTATCCACAATTAAGATTATTTTGAATCAACTATGAAACGTGTTCAGATATTCATTTTGAATCAGATATTCGAATGAATCAATTGTGATTCAGCTCCGAATTTTCCGAGAGCTGAAGGGAATGATACATGGAGCACTTTGCTCCATCCCGAATCACGGCTGAAGTCTTTGTCGGAAGACATCTGATGGATCCATAAGATCCAAATACTATTTACATATAATTTTTAATACAACTTCTGATTTTCAAAATTGTTTACCTAAAATTAAAACTGAATACGACTCAAATGCGGGTCTATAAAGTTTTGAATACGCACTGCACTTTCGAATAACGAATCACAGTTATGTATGTGAACTATAAGCTGAATATGTAGGCTATATATATATATCTAACGACACTTTACAACCCAAACATTCACTTTCAAAACATTCACATTCACACTCACACTTCGACTCAAATGAATACAATCGCACTTATTCGAACTAACAACAATATACTTTGAATATGAATCACACTCATAACGGAAATCGTTTCAGTCAAGCACAAGAATTTAAATATGTTTCGCACTCAGAACAGACGGCGCCGAATTTGCAATTAAGCTGCGGTGCACTCAATTGCAATTGAGTGCATTCTGGCCAAAGGCTGCACTCACTCAAAACAAAGCGCGCTCAGCGAAACAAACGACTCGAAACAGACGCGGGAACATGCCGCTTGTGCCGTTATTTAATTTAACGGAACTGCCGAAAAACAGGCAGAAATAAAGAACACAAAAGCAGGGCACAAATTTAAAGCGGGCCATCAAAAAAAAAAAACACATACACAGACAAAGCAAACTAAATTTCCGTTTTATATGGGACTACGTGTGTGTGTGTGTGTGTGTGTGCGACACCAGGCGACATAAATGTGTTTAAATGATTAATAACTTTTGTCACTCCTTTCTCGCACAAGCGAATGGCGCACTTTGTGGCGCGGTTTCAGTTTCACTTATCAACAAAAACAAAAAAAAACAAATGCAATAAAACAACTACAACACAAGCAAACAGGATATAGCTGAGGCACAGCTGAATATAAAAATCCAATAACCGCGAAATTCAGTGGCTGCGGCCGCCTTTTGGCTCCACACGTGTTTCGCTTACGGTACTTAATTCCGTTATTTGACGTTGGTTGGTTTACTATTGCGCGACAAGTGCGAACACTGCGAAAGCCGGTCGACGACTGTGGCAGCTGCTATGCTGCGTGGTGAGTTATAAGGCAACACAAGCAGCCAGTCGCCTGTCGTCTGTCGGCTGTCGGCTGCACTCGTGCTTCGGTTCGGCTGGCCACTCGGCTCGCCACGTTTGAGTCGGTCTGCCTGAGCCTCAGTTCAGCCGCTGCTTGACACGTGCAAAGCGCTTTGATTTGTTTGTTTTGAGTGGGTTTGCCTCGTTGTGTGCCCCGCAGTCAAAAAAGCCGGCAATGCCGTTATGCTTGCATTTCCCAAAAGTAGATATAAAAATAAAGACAGTTAGACAAAAACAATAAGACTCTCATTCGGTGGTGAGTTTTTAAATGCCCGCAGGCCAGACAACAGAGACAATATTTACTCTAAAAGCTATCGACCACGGAGTTCTTAAATCAATCTTATCGCCACACACACACACACACACAGGCTTAAGCAAAAATAAATTCAAAAATATTTAATAACCTGCTTTGAACACAGTTTGATTGCGAATTCAACTCTTTAACGCTTTGCGACAGGCGCTGGCATGTTTGAGTGGACCCTAACTCACCTCTTTAAGTTTGGGCAAATGCACAGGCTGTTGTGAGTAGATCCTAATTCACCTTTTGAAGCACAATGGCTCTTAACTCACCTCTGCAGGCTTTATGAAGTGCAGCTTTGAGCGCAGTCGGACGCAGCGTGGGCTAAAACTCACCTCTCTAATTTCTGTTAGGCTTAGTTTTAAGCGCAGGCATTATTGAGTGGGTTTTAACTCACCTTTTCGATTTCCCGTAATGCTTTCATTGTTGTCATTATTTGTACCCTCTAGAAGTGGCTTAAAGAAGGGGTATATTGACGTTTTGCTAGGATAAAATTATGAAATGTATAAAATTATATCGACAAAAATATACTTATTTAGGTAGGTCCAGAATACTTCACTTCTTAGATGCCCTTTTTAAAATTAAGATTAATTGAGCTGGATACAGGGTGTCTTCTCGCCAGGCACTCATGACTTACTTATTTTCCCTAGTTTTAAAGTTCTACAACAGTGAATTTTATAATCGAGAAGGCGTTTAATAATCGAGAAAACTGTTTTTTCATCTAGTTAGCTTTCACGTTCAGATCTGGGGAGACCCTGTATGAGAATTCGGCAACATTCATTCTGAATTTAGCTCTGGAACAAACAACAACTGAAAATTGTTAGTGAAAAAAACAGCCAAATAATGTTGTGAGAGAACAAAATAAAAAAGACAAAAAAAAAAAAGGAAATGATGTTAAAAAAATAAATTTCGAAAAAAAATGTGAATAAATTTTTTATGTTTTGTGAAATATAATGTTTTTGTTTTTCGTTTCAAAATCTAAACATGAACTCGAACGAAATATTCTAGCCTTATAATACCCTAAAAAAGTACAAAAATTGGGGGGTATCCTGTAAGGAAAGCAGAAAAAGAAAAACCCAGGTAAGTATAAAACTGGAACAAAAGCAGGAGAAACTAAAGAAAATTGTTTGGTTTTCCAGAAACAAAGCCAAAAAGCAAAATGACAAAAAAGAAGACGCATTTGATTTATTTGATTTGAATTCCATAACACATTTTTCACAATTCCATAGTTCAATATGTTTAATTAAACGCAACAGTTGCGCAGCTACAGTCCGAAGTCCAAACCTTCCAACACTTTCCAACACACTTTTCCAACACACTCTGAAGCAAAGGAATCATCAACACGAACACATGAACGGAACAACGAACAAAGAACAACGAGCAACGGAACATTGAGCCAAAGAACAACGAAGAACGAACCACATTTCCACGAATCCCAAATACCTCGATCACAACTACTTCGAACCACGAACCAGTTCCACGTTCCATTCCCATGCATTCCCGTTGCAGCGGATGTTCCAATGAACCAGTTAAAAAGACGGTAAGCTCTTGGCTTGGATCATTTTTGATAATGCTCAGCTTCTCGATTCCCCAGTTACTCGGCCATTGCGATTTCAAGCCTACGGTACCGCGACCGCAAAACCATAATCCACTTCCTTAACCAACCCCAACCCCACCCCACCCCCTCCACCGCCAACCGTCCAGTTGAACCAGTTGAACCAGTTCATGAAGCAACCCGAGGTCGGCGCGAAGGATTTGCGTACTTGAAAGCGACACTGGCCCATCCGGTTTGCTGCACTTGTCAATCGTTTGAAATATATGCTTCACTTTAGACATACATACGTATATGTGTACATGAGCTTGTGTTTTCCCTGTAGTCCACTGTAGTGTCTGGTGTCTAGTGTAATTTTAAGTGTAGTCCTCGCGTCCCACTCTTCCCTTAAAGAGGCGTGGGCTGTTCCAAGAGGTTCCCTTCCGTGGAATAAAGAGGATTCCAATAATGCTACAACCTATCTGGAACGCAATCAAAAATTTAATCCCTTTATTGGTTCTATTGCAAAGCGAAAGTCTGAAGCTTTATCATCGACAGCCTGAACCTGTTTAGAGCTTAAACTCGTTGCGAATTACAACACGTTAATGACGGTAAAAGGGAGAGGGTGAGGCTGAAATAACTGAACAATATGAGCAAAAGCTAAGTTTCTACAAGGAGCTATAAATAAATCTGCCACAAAAGCTTATGGCTAAAATCAGCTACAAACGGCTACAAAGATCTTACAAAAGCTAAAAACGGCTTAAAATAATTAAAAATAGCTGGAATAGCCTTAAACGCGTAATTTGCGACAAAAAGTTGCCGTCATAGCTTCACCTTCGGTTGCCAAAATATAGCCAAAACACGCCAAAACAACCTAAAACTAGCTACAAACGGCTAGAAACAGCCTAAAAGTGCTCAAAATGGCTAAAATAGCTTTCGAGCGAAAATGTCAGTCAATTATCAGTCTAGCCAAATTCAGCTAGAAAATAGCTAAATTGAATGGCAACTAACGGAGCGACCCTCGCCGCAATGTTGAACGCTGACTTATCGTCACGTGCGCACTTGCACTTGGCATCGGCTGCAGGAAGGGGGCGTGTGGGTGTGGGCGTGGCAATGGCCAGACAATGGGCTAAGTTGACACAGTTGCATAGATTTTGAGACGAGACACGTTCCAACAAGGGGCGGAAAGTGTGGTGGTGGGGGGGGGGGGGGGGGGGGAATAGGAAGCAAGTGACATTTATGCTGACACCAAAAATCATCGTCAACAACAACAACAACAACTTCCACCCGCCCAACCCCTCCGCACCCCGCACTATCAGCCCAACTTCGCAAATATTTGCCGGCTAGGCAAACTTGTGGCCTGGCCAGATAGTGGGCGTGGGGCGTGGGGCATGGCAGTTTGCATGCGCCGTATTTCCGCTCCAGATCATAAACAAAGCCAAAGCGAGTGCCAATGCGAGTTGTGCATGTTCCATGTTCCATGTGCCATGTTCCGTGTTCCACTTTCCATCCGTTCCCGCTGCAAAGACCGGCAACAGGCGGAACACCTGCGGGCATTTTGGCATTGCACACTTTTAGGCGGCGCCTCTTATTCTGCAGCAATTAAAAGCAGAACAACTTAAAACAAGAACATTTTAGATAGTTGCCGACGCCTGTCACCGACTGCATAATACCCTGTACGGCGCAAGAGGAAAATTAAACAAATTCTCCTTCTGATTACCGAGTTAAATACGTAACATTTTCTTTTTTTCTTAGACTTCTTATAGATCCACAATAACCTTGAAACTAGTTCAGTTCACAGTTCACACTCCACAATCCACAATAAATGGACACTAGTTCACGGTTCACGGTTCAAACTCACCTCGAGTTCGATTGGTGAAACTAGTTCTTTACATGCGTGTATCTAGATTTTGATTACCGCGCTCAAACTGGAGTCCATATAGATTTCTGCTTCAAATTCGAAAACCCGATACACCCCTCCCACAACTTTTCGTACAGGGTATAGGAAATTGGCCAGCGGCTGCATTTTGCCAACTTAATGCGAGACTCTCGTTCTGAGCAAACACAATAGCTGACTTGAAGTGCATTGTGCGACAGAAAGAGAGAGCAAGTGAGAGAGGGCGAGAGTGCGAGAGAGAGAGAGAGAGAAAGAGATATGCAGCAATATTTGGTGCATATTTCCAGCTAGGCCTCGGCTTGGGCGTGGACAATAACAGTAAATATGCTCCAAATTTATTATTATTAATTTCTTTTTTGCCCGAAGCTAGAATAGACCTAGATCTTTAGGCACAGAAATTTCAGTCGGTTCTACTCTATTAATGTCATAATTATTTGCTCGGTTCTATTTTGATTCTATACGTAATCCACTATATGATCTGTTTGTATGCGAAACAGTTGTGAATGACTGCTTGACTGATTGATGACTTTTCACTGCAGCTAACCGGATCCACCCGCAAGTGTGGAATATTAGTGAAAAAATGATGGGAAACTTGATTGGGATATAAGCTACGGTTGAACCGCAGCCGAGACTATGCAATAGTCTAGCTTTACGTGATTGACTGACTGATTGAGGAATTGATTGACTGATTGATGACTTTTCACTGCAGCTAACCGAATCCACACGCAAGTGCGGAATATTAGTGATAAAATGATGGGAAATTTGATTGGGAAATAAACTTCAATTGAACCGCAGCCGAGACTATGCAATAGTCTAGCTATACGTGATTGACTGACTGATTGAGGGATTGATTGACCGATCTGTCTGTCTTTGAGACATTTCTTCTAACGGCATTTCCTATATATGTGAAGTAAATAGATTGTAAGAGCCTGTTCGATATCTTATCAGAGACTATGCAATATATATATCTATCTTTGCATGATTGACCGACTGATTGAGGGATTGATTGACTGAGGCATTTCCTTTACATGTAGATTTACAGTGAATCTGTTTGAGAACCTGTTCGATATCTTATCAGAGACTAAGCAACAACTATCCTTTATTACATGATTGACTGACTGATTGACTAATTGATTGATAGTTCTGTCTGTCCATTTTTCATCACGTACACAATACAGCCTACTCGTTCCCAGTTCCGAGTGGAGTGAGTGTGAGTGTAGACAGATTGAAAATACCTAACTTTGACCACACATCCAACGCGTTCCCCAGCTCCAAGTAGATTATTTGATATTTAAGAGCTCGTACACAGATTGAAAATACCCATACATATTCCGATACTTCCCACCCATTCCCAGCTCCGAGTAGAGTACTCTAACTTGTTGCTATGCCCTCGCTCGTACCTACACACTTTTGCCGGCTATATATTGACAAATTTTCTAGAGTATGCCCCAATGCAAGTCCCTTCTAGTCTTTGGCAATGGCATTGTATGTGGCGTGGTGAAGGGGGGGGGGGGGGGGGGGGGTGAGGTCGGAGAGGATGGGAGATCTACAAGTTGTCTCTGGTTGCGGCCAAAAAAGTGTTTTCAATATCATAAATTTATAAATATAATTTTTCAGTTCTATTGCAAGCGAACATCTGTGGATGCCTGTTGTATGTGTGTGTGTGTGCCTGTATGTGTGTGTGTGTGTGTGTGTAAAATTGTGGTGCCGTCGCACGGGCCCAGTTGAAACTGTGCCAAATGCCGGAGACGGCGACAGTTGCAATTTGTGCGCCGCGTCTCGAACAACGTGTCCAAAAATTGTTGTTCTTCTTGTTTTTGTTCTCGTTTTTGTTGTTGTTGTTGTTGTTGTTTTTGTTGTTGTTGTGTTTTATTGCTGTAATCGTTTCATAGCATTATTAAATGTCGAGCTGTTAAACGCGCCCAACAAGCCCTCCGTCGCCCCCCACGACGTCCCTTACAAGCCGGGCTGACATCCATGCTGAGCGCGTAAAAATTATCAATTAAAATCAATTTAATCGTTAATCGGACGCCTTTACCAAAATAATAAAAAAAAAGGCCGGAAAAGCAGAAGAAAATGCCCGCAAAAAAACATGTAAACATAGTTGCCAGCGTTGCCATATGAGGGGGCCAATGGGGATATGGGTTATATGGTGGAGAGGGCAGGGGGGAGGGCAGGTGGGCGGGTCCTGTGCTGGCAGCATAATTAAAAATTAATTTACCACACAATAAATATGCATATTAAATAGCTGTGCGTGTGCGTAAACATTTTAATAGCTCGACCAAAATGAAAAGCCAAATGAAAAGGCAAACAAAAACGCGAAATAATGTCATTTGATGCACCTGTAGATGTGATTATAGTTTTGTCATTAAATGCAATTATATATTTATATATATATATTTATAAATATACATATGTATATGTATATTTTTGATCTAGCCACAAACATCCGGCCGTGCGTCTGACTGAACGCAGCAAATTCGGCAGAGCGTAAGACTTATGTATATCGTATGCAGAAAGTCTTTATCATATTAATTTTCGATATTTTTTGCCTCTTTAAATCGATTAATATCGATTTTGAGCATTTAATTAAGAGCTGAGCTGGAAGATTTTAAGAGCAGAGATTAACAACAGTTCACTTTTTGGTCAGTTGCTCCGATCCGAAAGGAAAACAGACTTTCAATAGCTACTCTCTCTGCCTCTTGATATCGATAAATATCGATTTTGGTTTAATATAAATCTTAAGTACAAATGGAAAATTTCAAAAGCTACATTTACAATAAGTCGATTTTTAGTCAGCTCCTGCGATTCACCACAAATGGAAAGAGATTTATGATATCGCCTGCCTCATTCGATATCTCCTCCGTCATCATATCGATAAATATCGACTGTGGGCATTTAATCTTTAGCATAGCTCGTATATTTTATGAGCTCGATATACAGATTCACAATGGTTCAGTTTTTGACCAGTTTCTCCGATTCGCCACAAATGGGAAAAGATTAATGATATCTCCTCCCTTATATCGATAAATATCGATTTTGAGCACTTAATCTACATTTTAATAGCTGGATACAGAGATCAACAATATTTCACTTTTTGGTCTTTGGAATATTTTCCCAGTTGCTAGCCAAATTCAAAAATATAAGAAGTTCATTCCGATCGGACCACAAGCACCGAATTTTACTCCAGAGTTTTGCGCTGGGTTCGGGTATCACGCAGTCGGACACAGTCTCACTTTTAGTTGCTTTCATTGTTATTAGAATTTGATTTTCATGCTCAGATTCTGTTTGCTGTTTTTCATAATAAAAAGAAATGAGTTATTTTTGGATGGCCGCAGGCAAATCTTAGATTTATAGCTAAATAATAATAAAAGGCAGCAAAACCGAAAGCCAAATATTCGTGTTTTCGCATTCTCTCGCAGCTAATTGAAACGCATGAAAATTCCTTAAGCCCAAGAGGAAAAACAGAAAGAAAAAAAAAACGCAATTGAAAAACCAAAACAAACCGCGCCGCATGTTGTGGAATTCCGACGTTGACCCGCAGCGTGGCCAACACCGTGCAACGCCGGGTGACAGCAGCGGGGCAAGCAGGAGGGGGTCTGTTCTGCGTTGCGTGTTCCGTGCCTATTTTTGGGCCACGGCAGCTCGCAGCGGCGCGTCCTATAAATAAACGCCATATACAAGCAAATATTCCCAGCCAAATGTCGGCCCCCGCCTGCCCTGCCCAGCCCCAAACCGACTCCATGCCACATGCCACATGCCACATGCCACAAGTCGCAAGAATGCCCGCAACACAATTGGCGGATAGTTAAAACTACTTTTTTTTTTCGTTCTATATCTAAGCATTAGAGGTTTTGATTACATTTATCAAAATAAACACAAGTTCTCTTTCATAGAAAACTTTAAAAATAAAGATCAGTCGGGAGTGCTCGACTAGAGGCTACTCTGTCATATGGCTGTGCTTCGGTCTTTTCCAGCTCAATTTTTTGGTAAAAACATTCTAGAATAACTCAAGTATTCTTAATCGTATCTCAATGAAACTTTCCAGTCATAAATATATGATCAAATTGAATATACTTATATCCCAAGGCGCAAGGCGCTCACCCTTTACAATTTCTGGGGGTACGGGGTGAGGTATTCAAAAAGTGAAATATTCCAAATTTGTAGATACTATACACGCAACTACATACCAAGTTTGGCGTCTCTAGCTCTAATAATCCTCGTGTTATGCTTAAAATATGATTTCTCTAAATCGATATTTATCGATATAAATTTAAAATGGAAGCAGTTATCGATGTCAGCTCGTTGTTCTGCACAAGCATATGTATATATTATGTTTTGGCAGTTGCATTCTTCTGCCTGTTACATAAAGCTGCACGAAATCATGATACCCTTGCTCAACATTCACAGGGTATAGCCATATATGTCATATTTTAGCGAGCACGCAGTCAATATATCTCGTTCGAACTGAGCTTTTATGGTGCTCCAAGCTCTCAGCTTGCAACTGAATCTATGTGCAGCAGGTGGCAGATGGGCAGGTGGGCAGGTGTGGAAGTGGGTGGTGGAAGGTGGAAGGTCTGTGTAGTCTGGCGTTTAAATTGTTAACTGAAAACTGGCACCTGTTGAGGCGGGCACGCGCTGCCCTCATCGAGGCATTCAGCGTTGAGTGTCTTTTAATTGCCAGCTGTTGACAGGCAGCACCTCCCCCCGCCCCTTCACCGAGCCCTTGTCGCCAGATTGGACCATCGGCGAGAAGGGGGGGGAAGAGGCCCGGTTGTGATTAATGAGTCGAACCGGACTATGGCAGAGCAATTAGAATACAATTAGCAGGGAATGTGGCCACTAATGAGCGCACTTTTGCAGAGACGCCAGCACAAACAACATGCCCAGGCCCAGGCCCAGGCTCAGGCCAAGGCTCGCGTCCAGGCGAAGGAAACCGAGCTGGAGTCGGAGCAGGACTTGGCGCCGGCGTTTCGCGTGGCGCACTCGGAACTGTTTGGACGCTATTTGGTGGCGAATCGCCAGCTGGCGGCGGGCGAGCTGCTCATCACCGAGCAGCCGCTGGCCATTGGGCCCTGCGTCAGCTGTGAGCCCGTCTGCCTGGGCTGCTATCGTCCCGTCCAGCTGACGGCGCAGCAATATCGCTGTGCCGGCTGCGGCTGGCCGCTGTGCGGCGCCAGCTGCCGGGGAATGCAGCAGCGACGGCTTGGCCACACGGAGGAAGAGTGTGAGATTTATGGGCAGCGACGCGGTTTGGCCGCGGAGCTGCTGACGACGCATGCAACGCCCGACCAGGTGCGGGATCTGTACGAACTGGTGCTGATCGTGCGCATTGCGCTGCTGCGCCACCTGACGCCGGATCTCTATGCGCAGATCCGACGCATGGAGTCCCACACGGCGGCGCGGCGCGAAAACGCGACGCTCTGGCAGCACTACGAGCAGAAGGTGGTGCGACGGCTGCGCGATGACTGGCAGCTGCAGCAGCTGGAGGCGGCGGAGCTGCACGAGATCTGCGGCATCTTGGACGTGAACTGCTTTGAGATTGGACAGCATGGCGCCAAGGCGCGCACGCTCTATCCGAGCGCGTTCCTGCTCGCCCACGACTGCAGCCCCAACACGGCACACACGGACGATCCACTCAGCTATGCCATCCTGTTGCGCACATCGCGCGCCGTACGCGAACAGGAGACTCTCACGCTCAGCTATGCGTACACGCTGCAGGGCACCTTGAAGCGGCGCTCCTTCATCCAGGGCGGCAAACTGTTTTGGTGCCGGTGCCGGCGCTGCGCCGATCCCCGGGAGCTGGGCAGCGACTGCAGCGCTCTCGTCTGCAGGTCCTGTCAGCTGGGCAGCATACGAGCCATCGATCCGCTGGACCAGAGCGCCGACTGGGCGTAAGTAGATCCCCATCTCGATCCCAATCCCGATCTCGATCTCGATCCATTCATCCGAACACTGCCTAATCCATGCTCCTTTTCAGCTGCGATCGCTGCGCTCATCGTCTCAGCGCTGTCCAGCTGGAGCGTCTCCTGGATCGCATCAATGACGATCTGGAGTCCATCGATGTGCACGACATTCCCGCACTGGAAAACTTTCTGGCACGGTGAGATATTCAAAATCATCCAAAAATATCTAAAAATTATGTGATCATAAAGAAGTCTGGAATATAGCTGGAAGATACTCTCTAATGATCATATTCCAAATTTCAAAACCATCTTTCATTGGTTCTCTGAGTTCCTTAATAACCATGTGATCATAAAGAAATTTCGTATATAGCTGGGAAATACTCCTATCTAATTGTATACCACATTTGATTATTCTGTTTTAAACATTCTCTGAGTTATCCAAAGTTGAAAAATCATCTGATCGTTGCTCCGAAATATCTATTTACCAAATTGAAGACTTAGGTTTCGGGGCGTTTCTTGGTTATCTTCAGCTAGCAAGCATGCACGTCTGATATTACCCGGCATTGCCCGTTGTATGCACAAGTGTCTGTTCTTCCATATATTCCCACAGGGTGCTTATTAATCTCAGGTTCTATCAGAGCTGGACCTAGAAAATTTATTATATAGGTTCTCACAGGCTTAACATGCAACCATATTTGGGAAAGTGCGGAACTGTCGACTATTATATCTTTTTAAAAAGTGCTTTTTGAACTCAGGATCTAACGCGGATAGAACCAACAAAATTTGATAGATGGGTTCGCAAACCCTTAAAGTCGAAAGAGGAAAGGTAGAATTTTGGAATGATTGAAAGATAACTCTTGGCTCTTAAGCTCTCAGCTGTGGACTACTGAATAAAGCTCAGGGGTAGTCAAAGACGGAGTCAAAGGCTTTTCTGAACTTTGAATAAAACTTCAGCTGACTTGATTGGCATACATGTAGGTACCGCGAGGTGCTGCGTCCGAATCATTATCTGCTGCTGTCGGCCAAGTACTCGCTGTGCCAGACCTATGGCCGGATCGAGGGCTATCTGCTGCCGGAGTTGTCGCCGCAGGATATTGCGCGCAAGGAGCGCTATTGTCGCGAATTTCTGGCCGTCATCGATCTACTGGAGCCGGGTCTGACCCGTCTGCGCGGTGAGTGCACAGATCACCTACAATTTCTAGCACTACAATTCGTTCACTCGCAGGTGTCATCATGTACGAGCTGCATGCTCCGATTATGGTGCTCGCCCAGCTGGGCATGCAGACGGGCCAGATGTCGCGCCAGGAGTTCCAGAAGCGCATCAACGAGGTCGTCAAGCTGCTCACGGAGAGCGCACACATTCTACAGCTGGAACCAGCCGGTTCCAGCGAGCACGAAATGGGTCGAGCTGCCGCCGATGCGCTCATCAAAATGGGCTGCTAAAACCCAAAGAACTTCCATCTATAGAGCTTTGTATGCCCATGCATATATTCATTGTTGTCGTCCATGTGAACTCGAATCTCAGACGAGCTGTGCCAATGAAACTTGCTCCAAGTGCTAGCCATACCAGCAGCTGGCTAAGAAATCCAATTCGTTTGGATAACTGTACTATATGATACAGTATAACACTTTATAACAAGGAACGTATCCATCCCACGCTATGTGCTGGTGTGAAACTGTCTTTTCTTTTTTTTTACTTAACTAACTTAAGGTTGTATAATCGAATAATAGAATTAATTATTTATAGAACAGACTTTTATATTGTAGAATCTAAGCTTTAAAACTGTTTGGTAAAACTGTTATACGCTGTCTCAATTAAATGTGGTGTGAAAAGGTTAACTGAAGTGACAAGGGTATTTTTTTTTTTTTTGGGATGGGTATTCAATTAAAAGTCATAAATCGAAAAGTAAAGATAAATTAAGGTTTAAGGTTCTCGTTAAGTATCTGCATGATATCCCTCACTTTCTAGATACCACCGCACACTGTATACATAAAATATATAGTATGCTCATACTTCTCTTTGCCATATTTAAACGTTGAAAATATCACAAAGATCGGGCTTAAGACAACGAAGTTAATCAAGAACACATTTCTTATGGATAGTGTGTGGGGTAAGTGCAGTCTCTGCTGTGTACAGGGTATCGTCTGGTCGAGCAATTAAGCCCAGCAGCTGCTGTAAGCTCTTATGTCCTTAAGAAGCTCGCACTGGACAGAGAGCGAGGCGGTACTGCAAAACTTGACAGAGGGCAACAATTTTTAATTAGCCAACATTTCGCTGGGACTCGTCCCATTATCTCTGGTCCTCAATGTTGCCAGGCAAATCGAAAATGCAGAAACTGTAATCTGTGACGTCTTTTTTGTTTTTGTTTTTGCCAGTGCTTTGGCTTTGTGTTCGCTTTTTATGAAGAATGCAATAAAAAAAAAAAACCAGAACGCGCACAACTTTCGAGTTCAGCTCAGTTCAGTTGAGTTCTATTCAGGGCTCAGCCTGAGAATCCTTGTCCGGCTAATTGCGCCCCGTAACGGAAACTGAAACGGAAACGGAAAAGGCGACGGAAACTCGAAACGACAACAGAGCAACGGAAATGGTCAGACAAGTCGCTGATGCTTCCCCCCGCGCGGTCCCCTTGACTCCTGCACTTTGCCATTGATAGTTGACGGCAAGTTGAACTTCTATCGCAATGTTAATTAATGCATATTTTTGACGCCGCTTTCAATGTGACCTGGCAACGCCCAGCGACCAGCACCCAGCTGGCAACACCGGCGAGCTGTTGTCCCTCTCTCTCTATCTCCCTCTCTCTCTCTCTCTCTCTCTCTGATAGTTGACAGCCAGTTAAACTGCTATCGGACTGTTAATAAATGCATATTTTTAACGCCGTTTTCGATATGATGGCAACACAACTTCTCCTTCGAACTGGCTACACTGGCGAGCTGCTCTTCCTCTCTCTCTCTCTCTCTCTCTCTCTCTCTCTCTCTAGTATATACTGCTTGTCAAGTGGCTGCCATAAGTCTGTCAGCTGCAGTTATTTTGACGCCGCTTTCAATGTGACAGCAACACAACTTCTTCGTCGACGGCCTGGCAACGCCCAAAGCCCTAAGCCCAGCACCCAGCCGGCAACACCGGCGAGCTGCTCTTCCTCTCTCTCTCCCTCTCCCTCTCCCTCTCTCTCTCTCTGTCTTTTATTGCTTGTCAAGTGACTGTCATTAGTCTGTCAACTGCAATTTTCACCCAAGTCTTACATATTCCATTTAATTATATATAATGTATATTACTTAACTTCTAATTTCTTGTGTGCTCTTGGGCGCTTGTTTATATTGTTATACTTAATTTTTTATAACAACAAAAAAACAATTCCCTTAACTTTCGACAACAATTTCAATTAGATATCATTTTTAATGTGTATTATAAATACGTTGACATTTGCAGTTAATATCCCTTAAATATTTCTTAAAAGTTTCATAAAAATCGGACTATAAGCGCCGAGCTAAGCGAAGAAGGAGCGCATCGAGTTTCCAATTAGAAAATGGTGTCTCTAATGTGAATAATTATTTTCTAAATATTTCAAAATATTATCAAAATTTTGATAGTTGCTATTAGAATAGGACTTATCCCCTCTGCCTCTCTCTCCGTCTCTTTCTATTGCTGCAGCTAGATCTAAATGTAAGACATAACTCATTTTCCAATTGGATTTATTCCAATTTCATGTAAGCTGTCTGTCGGCAACAGGTGGATAACTGTTTAATGCAGTGCTTATTCAGTTACAAAGCTGCAGCGGAAACGGAAACGGAAGGATGGCCATCATGTAAGACAGAACGAAGGCCAGGCACACACACACACACACACACACAGAGGGAGACAGATACTGAGCATGTGGTTATAAAATGCAAAGGAAGACATTCATAAGAATGAGAGGCAGTTCTTTATTTCATAATAATTGTGTGGCAAGCAACAACAACAGCAACAATAATAACAATAATAACAAAAGCGAAAACAACAACAACAGTAATAATAGCAATGTGCATCTTTGCTTTGCTTAGATAAAGTCACACAGAGATTGAGATACGTTTCGGGTTGAGATGCAGATGCAGATACAGATACAGATACAGATGCACATTTCCCAGTAACAAGTGTCGGACGGAACATTCGAGCGCCAGTCGGTTGTGCAACTGCGACTTGACGGGATTGGAGACGAGGACTGGGTTGGGGGGAGAGGGTGTTGGGTAAGGTGTCTGGGCGGAGGTATCAAAATTGCGTTCATTGATACAAACATGCAAAAATACCCAGTGAGACTCTGTGCAAGACTTATGCAAATCAATTTACACAGAGCAAAGGCATTTTCCATGTTTTTCCAAGAGTGAAGAGTAGAGGGAGAAGTGAAGAGAGAGAGGGATAAAAAGGGAGAGAGAAGGAGAGAGAGAGGGAGAGAGAGAAAGAGAGGTTTAACTACATCGCTAACACCTTCTTTAAGAGGTGCTAACTGACGAAGGTCACTTTCTGGAGGCGAGAAGAATTGAGTAGAAGCTTCTTCCTTCTTGAAGAAGCACCTTTGCTCAGTTCTACAACATTTCGAAGAGAGAGAGAGAGAGAGAGAGAGAGAAAAGTTCGGCCTTTCGTACGGCCTAAGTGGCTTCTGTCCTCTTCTCCTTCCTAAGGATTCAGCTTTGCTGCGTTTCCTAACTGACTTTCTTCAAAAACTTCTTGTGAAAGAAAACAATATTGAAAAATTTCAGGCACCTTTAAATTTATGAAGTCGTGCAAAAGTCAGGTGGTGGTAAGTACTTTAAGCTGCACTGCTGGCGGGTCCCACTGGGCCTTACGCATGCGAATCTATTGCAAATGCACTTATATAAGGGAGCATGTGTGTGTGTATTTTACAAAGGCATAAATGAAAGAAAAACAAGAAACGGCAACAACTAAAAGCGTACGATAAATATAAATTGCATTGTGCAATAATCTTCAAAGTGCAACAAAGTAAAAACAACAACAAGAGGCAGAAGCATCAGCAAAGGCGCCACAACAACACGCAACACAATGAAAATCTGAGGCGGGAGCGAGAGCTGGAACGGGAGCAGGAGCTGGAGAGGTAGCTGGAGAGGGAGCAGGAGCAGGAGCAGCAGCTGGAGCGAGAGATGCATAAAGCCACATAAAAAATAAGACGATGCCAGGCAAGCAGAGCAAACGCAACGACAACAACAGAGAGCGCTTCATTTGGCAATGCCCGACTAGGCGATACCCTGTGATTGTGTTGCAGTCTCGAACAAAATCGGTGCTTAGAGTCCGATCCCAATAAAATTTTCAGACCTTAAGCAAGACATACAAAAGTGAGCATATACCAAAAGCTGTTTGCATCAGAGAGACCTTGCGAGGCCTGGCCATAGTATATATACGCTTTATGGTGTCGTTCTGTTACGTGCAGTATACCCTGTTTTGCGCACTTTCAATGCGTTCGGGGTATAACAACAACGGCTTCGTCAGGACGTTGCCACACAAAGTAAACGAGGCAGCCAGGTTGCCCAGCCGGCAGGACTTTAGCCAGCAGTTGGCTGAACGCCCAACCGGGCGCCTCCTGCAAAAAGCTGCTGTTGTTAACTTCGTAATGGGCCAAAGCCAAAGCCAAAGCCAAAGCCATTGACGTCGCTTCAATGGGGCACATTCAGCCCGAGAAGGCTTCCAATTCCGTAACAGCCAGCTGCGATCCATCTATGCGCTGGCTGCCTGATTTCTCAAAATTGACAATAACAAGGCACTAAAAGGCATTGGCAATATAATTAGAGATTGCATAAGGCAATATGGAAAAGACAAATGTACTAAAAATAAGCCAATGTTCAATAATTCCATCTAAACAGACCCCAGAGGTGGACCAGCCTGCTGCCAGATCCAGCCAGATCCGTCTCTTACCAGATGAAAGGACGTCGGTCTTTCTTACTTCTTCAGTTCAATAGCTTGGCTCGGAACGTAGCCTCGCAAGAGTATTTACTATTTTCTTTCCCGCTTAAGTGCTACTCAAATATGTTCAGGTCTACGTATGAAGATTTCCCTTTTTTTGGAATGGAATCAAATCTGACTATCAGTTGCATGGAACCCCGCTAGGTGGCGCCACTGGCGTGCAACCGCAACATTATGGCGAGAGCTGATAATGCCGAGCTGTATCTTTTGTATTTACTTCTGCGCCACATGCAACATGCGACAGCGACGTTGGCAAGGATAACGCCACGAGACGCTACCCAGCTGAGGGCGTGGGCGAGGGCGAGGCATGGCTATCAAAAGTGTTGCTTATTAAAATAAAATTTATTGCTTGTTTGCTGATAAAAATGAAGACAGACGCCAGCGAGCGCCAGTTGCCTAGCCCGCCAGCTACCAGGGGACGCCACTGCGCAAGCTGCAGCTGCAGCTGCTGTGTGTGGCACGTAAAAGTGTTAAAACGATAAGCGGCGATAGCGCCAAAACATAAAGAATATTTCTGCAGCAGGAGCTGCAGCATCATAAAGCCATAAAAGCAGTGCACAAAAGGGATCCAAGGACGTAGCAAGGCAGCCCGAGCCGGAGCCGGAGCCGGAGCCGGAAGCGGAAGCTAAACAGGCAACTAGACAAAAAACAGAAATGCAATTAAAGGTGCGCAAAAGCAATGCAAATAAGCGACCAGCTTAATGAGCCACTCGCTGCAGCGTCCACAGATTCAGTTATCCTTGGAGCAAAGGCTACTTGGACATGCCCCACCCATCCCTCTGGCCACTTGAGAATGCTCAACTCACGGGAGCAGCCGGCAACTGTCAGCGATTGTCTCAAGTGACAAAGTTATTTGGCTCCAAATACCCTAACAAAGGGTATTTGTCAGGATTCAATTAAGTGGTAAATCAGAATATGCTTAGTCCTTATCACAGAAAGTCTTTTCGATTGATGCAACTAGTAAGGTCGTTGGTTCTAATCCTAATCTTAGTCTTAAATTGAATGATTAGCTGATCATTTAATAAGTATACTCAACCATTAAGTGAGGTCACTGGTTCAAACCCTAGTTATAGCAGGATACGACTTCATTATCTTACCTTACTGATTAATAAAGACATTCATTTAGTGAGGTCACTGGTTCAAACCCTAGTTACACCAGAATATGACTTTATGACTAATTGTCGCTGGTTCAAATCCTAATTCCCAGAACTTTCTAGAAAAGTTTCTCGCTTACATAAATTGGTTGTGATCACATATGTGATCATATGTGATCGCTGTAAGTCTTTCGAGTAAAAAGAAGGTAAATGGTTCAAAGCCGAGGCTTAAGAGTGCTCTAGATGAGAGTGCTTGACTAGAAGATGCCCAGATATATTCGGTAATAAATCAGCAGTCATGGCTGGTCGAGCTGCCATGCTGCGGTTGCTGGTTCAAACCCTAAATAAGTGGCCTTTGGCTAGTGCTATTGAAGCCATAAGTTCAGCTCAAGTCAAAAGTCTTAGACTAGGAGTCTGAATATTTAAATCTTGGTCTAGACGATTTAAATTGCAGTAAAACCAGATAATCTGTACAAGCTAGGGTATTCTAAATGCGACATGTATTTCGTTTTCTTGCCCCCACTTGAAGTGTGTTGTCTAGACGACGACCAAGTCCAATTCGAATGCCAAATCCCAATCAGAAGCACACCAAACACAATTGCCAATCAGCCATTTGTTATCCGCCTATATTTGGAGCAACAAAGTTAACAATCTGTAATGCCAGCTGCATCAGTAGTTGTAGCCAATCTCGCTGAGGAGCGTATTGCCATCGGCGGAGCCGGCGGCGGCGGCGGAAATAACAGAGTCCTGCAGGTTGCGCAGCAAGCGATGCCGTAGATGCATTGTCCGGAGGCGTTGCATGCGCCGCTTCAGGTTGCAATAGACGGGACAGCAGTCCGGAAAGGGCTTGTACATCAGATCCTCCTCATCGCCCTGCTCACACTGGTCCGGCAGTATATCCAGGCAGCTGGCCATAAATAAAAAAAAGGAGAAGTACCAAAGTTTTGCATTAGCAGGGAATAAGAATGGGGGGGGGGGGGGGGGGCGGGATTGGTTGGGTTGAACTGTTGGCATGCATTTGGATTGGCATGCGACTAGAAAATCTATTCATTTGGCACTACTCGTTGGGTCTAGATATTTTTTCCACTACGAAAATAGACCTGGAGCGCGGCATTATCTGATTGTTCTCGCAGAACAGGTTCGAGCAGAGACTGAGCAGGACGAGCCGGCGCGGCAGGAACTTCGATTGCTCCCACATGCAGCGGCGATAGGTGCCTGTTGAAGAAGTCGAGCGGCTGTCAATCGGGGCTAGAGACATCATCTTGCCAGGAATTACTCACGCAACACGCTGTTGTCGCTCTCGCTGGAATCGTCGGCGCTGTAGCCGCGCTGCAGATGATAGCGCTTCATGTGGAACTGGCCAAAGGCGTCGCAGCTGCACAGCCAGACCAGGAGGCACACGGCCAGGCTCCCAACCAACTGCATCACATACATCCTCCACGCTCTATTTCTCTCTCGATATATATATATATATATATGTGTGTGTGTATATATATGTATCTATATCTACGCTGTGTGTGTATTGCGAACTGTGCGAGGCGGGCGACTGATGTGCGGCAACTACGCGCCCAACTCACACCATGGTTCCCAGCAAGCGGCCACTAAAAGCTGCTCGACATTACGTATACGCAACGTATTGCCGCCTTGCAAGTGTGTGTGTGCGTGTGTGTGTGTGTGTGTGTGGCTAAATTGGCCACAGCACTTGATTAAATCAACAAACAAACAAACAACAAAAAACTATGCGAATGCAAATTTTTGCGTTTTACATTCGCTCACGATTAACGCCAGCCACACACCCTCCCCTCCCCCACCACCAACTGCTGACCTAGCATGAATATGAATATACACAGTCACACTCGGATCATGGACAGCACAGTGCTATCCGCCAAATTGTCATAATTGTCGCCCAGTTAAATCTCAACTAGAAAACAAAAAAATACCCACCAAATGTCAAGTGCAGCCGTTGCCACAGAGAGGGTTAGGGCGAGGTGGAGGGAGTGGGAGTGGGAGTGGGAGAGGGAGGGCGGCGGTTTGGGTCGCTCAATGGGAGCGTGGAATCTAGCACTAAATTGTGTATTTACAGTTTTGAAACTCTGGTTACAAGTCTTCTGTAAGCCAGCAAACCTAATACTCAAGAGTTTGGACCCACTGAAAAAAAAAAAAATAAAATGCCAAAAACTTGCCAGAAACTTTGCCCAACGAAAAACGTCATAGAAAACTTATCCACAACAAGCCGAAGACTAAATACCCAGCCTTTACAAGCGGCTTCCTAGAACTAGAAGCTTTGTGAAACTAGAGTTTATGTTTGTTTTGTCGCTTGATGCGTTAAAATTCCCAAAGAGTTCAAGCGTCGAACAGCTCATAACAGAGTCGGTTGCTATTGCAAACGATAGCTTTACAATTAAAAAGAGATGTGGAATATGTTTTGCAGCTTAATTTGCCAAATAATATTTTGAAAGGACCTGGAAGAATATGTGCAGAGAGTTAAAGCGGTAGGAAGAGTATTTAAATTGAGCATTCAAATGGATTGCACTTTGCTGCTGCTGATATTGGGCGGGCGTGGCCTTTGCAGTCATTAGCGCATTTACTTTTTGTTAGTTGAAAGCTGCTTGAATTAAGCTCTAATCAGCTTTTGAATTTTTTCTGATGTCGCATAAAGCAAAAATCACCCAACACTACAAAAAGTAAATGCACTTCCTTTAAAAGAGTTCGAAAGCTTTTCGAATTAGTCAGTTGTAGTTTTATACTTTCTTTTTACAAATTTATATTTTTCCACTCTGGGGCATGTTTTGTTCATAAATTTGAAATCATTTCGCTACTCAACACTTGCTAATAAAAGTGTTAGAAAAGTACAACATTTGTAGCAAGGGTCTATTGTGAATATGTATGTATTTTTTTATTACCCAACACCAGAAATAGAAGTTGCACATTTTAAACGTACGTGCAACGTTTTAATAATAGTAATATTTAAAAAAAATCTTCAGCAGTCGAGGCATCAGCATTCTTTGGATCTGTAAGAAATCCAAATCGAAATTATATTTAATTCATTCCCCACTCAGCTGCAAACCAGTTTACAGTGAGGCGTCGACGTAGAGTCAGTACGATCTGTGTATGGGTCACCTGTGGTCCAAGTGTACTGTTGTGTAGAACTGTCCGGTTCATTGTGATCTGACCAACTGGTTCCAGTTCCAGATCCAATTATCGTGGTCAAAATAGAAGTTTCCTCGGAGGCACCTTTTGCTGTAGACGTCGAAGATTCTGATGAACTGGTTCCAAGTGACCCTTCAGAAGATGATTCCCCAGGCAAAGCAGGGGTTTCCGACTCCGTGATTACAGACGCAGCAGTGCTAACCGATGACTTCCAAATAGGTGTAGTCCTTTGCATAGTTGAGACCGATGTCGAGGGTGTTGACTGTTGCGCGGAACTACTTCCAGGTAACTCTGAAGAATATGATTCCTTTCCTTTATCAGTCACAGCAGTGTTCACAGAAGATTCCCAATTTTGTCTCACAGTTGAGTCCGATGGAGAAGATGTCGACTGTTCCGAGGCAATAGTTTCAGGTAGTTCTGTAGAAGATGATTCCTCCCCTTTGTCAGTCACAGCAGTGCTAACCGAAGTTTCCGAACTGGAAGTAATGTCTCCCAAAGTTGAATCCGACGGAGAAGATGTGGCTTGCTCTGAGGAACTTGTTCCAGGTAACTCCGAAGAAGATGTATTCTGCGCAATATCAGTCGCAGCTGTGCTAGCTGATGATGCCCAAATGAACGTAGTGTCCTCCAAAGCTGAGCCAATTGGAGAAGATACGGCTTGATCCGACGAGCTGCTTACAGATTGGCCTGAAACCGATGATTCAGTTGCAGCATTGCTAACTGATGATTCCCAAATAGAAGTAGTGTTTTGCATATTTTCAGAATCGGAAGTAGTGTCTTTCACAATTGATACCGATGGAGAATAAGTGACTCGCTCCGAAGAACTGCTTCCAGGCAACACTGAAGAAGATGATTCCTCTCCTATATCAGTCACAGCGTTGCCAACCGAAGATTCCAAATCGGAAGTAATTTCACCCACAGTTGAGTCTGTTGGAGAAGATGTTACCTGTTCCGAGGTACTAGTTCCAGGTGCTTCTGAAGAAGATGCTTCCTGCCCTATAGTAGTCACATTAGTGCTAACAGAAGATTCCGAATCGGAAGTAATGCCTCCCACAGTTGATCTCGACGGGGATGATGTGGCCTGCTCCGGGGAACTGGTTCCAGGTAACGCTGAAGAAGATGATTCCTCTCCTTTATCAGTCACAACAGTGCTAGCCGAAGACTCAGCATTAATGTCACCTTTAGTTGAGCTTGTTGGAGAAAGTGTTGACTGTTTTGAGGTACTAGTTCCAGGTATTTCTGATGAAGGTGATTTCTCCCATATAGTAGTCACAGTAGTGCCAATAGAAGATTCCGAATCGGAAGTAATGCCTCCCACAGTTGATATCGACGGGGATGATGTGACCTGCTCTGAAGAGCTGATTGCAGGTGGTTTTGTAGAAGATGATTCCTCCCCTATATCAGTAACGGAACTGATTCCAGGATGCTCTGAAGAAGATGATGTCTCCCCTATATCAGTCGTAGCAGTGCCAACCGAAGATTCCAAATCGGAAGTAATTTCACCCACAGTTGAGTCCGTTGGAGAAGGTGTTACCTGTTCCGAGGTACTAGTTCCAGGTGCTTCTGAAGAAGATGCTTCCTGCCCTATAGTAGTCACATTAGTGCTAACAGAAGATTCCGAATCGGAAGTAATGCCTCCCACAGTTGATCTCGACGGGGATGATGTGGCCTGCTCCGGGGAACTGGTTCCAGGTAACGCTGAAGAAGATGATTCCTCTCCTTTATCAGTCACAACAGTGCTAGCCGAAGACTCAGCATTGGAAGTAAAGTCACCTTTAGTTGAGCCTGTTGGAGAAAGTGTTGACTGTTTTGAGGTACTAGTTCCAGGTATTTCTGATGAAGTTGATTTCTCCCATATAGTAGTCACAGTAGTGCCAATAGAAGGTTCCAAATCGGAAGTAATGCCTCCCACAGTTGATATCGACGGGGATGATGTGACCTGCTCTGAAGAGCTGATTGCAGGTGGTTTTGTAGAAGATGATTCCTCCCCTATATCAGTAACGGAACTGATTCCAGGATGCTCTGAAGAAGATGATGTCTCCCCTATATCAGTCGTAGCAGTGCCAACCGAAGATTCCAAATCGGAAGTAATTTCACCCACAGTTGAGTCCGTTGGAGAAGGTGTTACCTGTTCCGAGGTACTAGTTCCAGGTGCTTCTGAAGAAGATGCTTCCTGCCCTATAGTAGTCACATTAGTGCTAACAGAAGATTCCGAATCGGAAGTAATGCCTCCCACAGTTGATATCGACGGGGAGGATGTGGCCTGCTCTGAAGAACTGATTGCAGGTGGTTTTGTAGAAGATGATTCCTCCCCTATATCAGTAACGTAACTGATTCCAGGATGCTCTGAAGAAGATGATTCCTCCCCTATATCAGTCGCAGCAGTGCTAACAGATGACCTCGTGCTGGAAGTAAATTCACCCACAATTGACCCTGTTGGAGAAGGAGTTGATTCAGGAATGGAAGTTTTGTCTTTCACAGTTGATTCCAACGGGGCAGATGTGGCTTTCCCTGAGGAGCTGGTTGCAGGTAACTCTGAAGCAGATGATTCCCCCCCTATATCAGTCGAAGCGGTGCTAACGGAAAATTCTGATTTGGAGGTAGCGTATTCAGCTGTTGACTCTGATGAGGAAGATGTGGATTGGTCTGAGGAACTGATTCCAGGTAGTACTGAAGCAGTGGAGCTAACAGAAGACTCAGGATTGGAAGTAGTGTCTCCCACACTTGAGCCCGACGAAGAAGATGTGGCATGCTCTGAGGAACTGGTTCCAGGTAACTCTGAAGAAGATGATTCCTCTCCTTTATCAGTCACAACAGTGCTAGCCGAAGACTCAGCATTGGAAGTAAAGTCACCTTTAGTTGAGCCTGTTGGAGAAGGTGCTGACTGTTTTGAGGTACTAGTTCCAGGTATTTCTGATGAAGGTGATTCCTCCCATATAGTAGTCACAGTAGTGCCAACAGAAGATTCCGAATCGGAAGTAAGGCCTCCCACAGTTGTTCTCGATGGAGATGATGTGGCCTGCGCTGAAGAACTGATTGCAGGCTGCTCTGAAGTGGAATATTCCTCCCTTACATCAGTCACATCAGTGCTAACCCAAAATTCCGTGCTGGAAGTAATGCCACCTACACTTGAGCCTGTTGGAGCAGTTGTTGACTGTTCTGTGAGACTAGTTACAGGTAGTTGAGAAGAAGGTGATGCGTTCTCTATACCAGGCACAGCAGTGCTAGCAGATGATTCCAAATTGGGTGTAGTGTCTTTTAGAGTTGAGGCTGTTTTAGAAGGTGTTGACTGCTCCGGGGAACTGGTACAAGGTAGTTCTGAAGAAGATATTTCCTTCCCTATATTAGTCGCAGCAGTGCTAACCGAAAATTCCGTACTGAAAGTAACGCCATCATCAGTCAGGTTTGTTGGAGAAGGTGTTTCCTGTTCAGAGGAATTGGTTCCAGGTAATTCTGAAGAAGTCGATTCCTCCCCTATAGTAGTCACAGTTGTGCCAATAGAGGATTCCGAATGGGAAGTAATTTCAGCCCCAGTTGAGCCTGTTGGAGAAGGTGTTGACTGTTCCGAGGAACTGGCTCCAGGTAGCTGAGATGAAGGTGATGCCTCCCCTATATCCGTCGAAGCAGATGATTGCCAAATAGTAGTAGTGTCTTCCACTGTTATGCCCGATGAAGAAGTTGTTAAATGTTTCGAGGTACTAGTACCAGGTACTTTGGAAGAAGACGATTCCTCCCCTATAGTAGTCACAGTAGTGCTAACAGAAGATTCCGAAATAGAAGTAATATATCCCAGAGTTGATCTCGACGGGGAAGATGTGGCTTGCTCTGAGGAACTAGTTTCAGGTTGTTTTGTAGAAGAGGATTCCTCCCCTATATCAGTCGCAGCAGTGCTAACAGAAGATCTCGTGCTGGAAATAATGTCACCCACAGTTGACCCTGTTGGAGAAGGTGTTGACCGTTCCGAAGAACTGGTTCTAGGTAGTTCTGTAGAAGACGATTCTTCTCCTACATCAGTCACAGCACTGCTTGCCAAAGATTCAGAAATGGAAGTATTATCTTTCACAGTTGGTCCCGACGGGAAAGATGTGGCTTTCCCTGAGGAACTGGTTGCAGGTAACTCTGAAGCAGATGATTCCCCCTCTATATCAGTAGCGGAACTGGTTCCAGGTTGCTCTGTAGAAGATGACTCAGTCGCAGCATTGCTAACTGATGATTCCCAAATAGAAGTAGTGTTTTCCATATTTTCAGAATCGGGTGTAGTGTCTTTCACAATTGATACCGATGGAGAATAAGTGACTCGCTCCGAAGAACTGCTTCCAGGCAACACTGAAGAAGATGATTCCTCTCCTATATCAGTCACAGTGGAGCTAACCGATTCCGGTTTTGAGGTAGTGCATTCAGCAGTTGACTCCGATGAGGAAGATGTGGATTGCTTCGAAGGACTCGATGTAGGTAGCCGTGATGAAGATGATGCCTCCCCTATATCAGACACAGCAGATGATTGCCAAATAGTAGTAGTGTCTTCCACTATTATGCCCGATGAAGAAGTTGTTAAATGTTCCGAGGTACTAGTACCAGGTATTATAGTAGTCACAGTAGTGCTAACCGAAGATTCCGCAATGGAAGTAATATATCCCAGAGTTGATCTCGACGGGGATGATGTGGATCGCTCTGAGGAACTGGTTCCAGGTTGTTTTGTAGAAGAATATTTCTCCTCTATATCAGTAACGGAGCTGATTCCAGGCTGCTCTGAGGAAGATGATTCTTCCTCTCGTATAACAGTCGTAGCGGTGCTAACCAAAGATTCCGATTTGGAGGTAGTGTATTCAGCTGTTGACTGCGATAAGGAAGATGTGGATTGCTCCGAAGGACTCGATGTAGGTAGCCGTGATGAAGATGATGCCTGCCCTATATCGGTAGAAGGAGATGATTCCCAAATAGTAGTAGTGTCTTCCACTGTTAAGCCCGATGAAGAAGGTGTTAAATGTGTGGAGGCATTAGTTCCGGGTACTTCTGACGAAGACGATTCCTGCCCTATAGTAGTCACAGCAGTGCCAACCGAAGATTTCGAATCGGAAGTTATGTCTCCCACAGTTGATCTCGGCGGGTATGATGTGGCTTGCTCCGAAGAACCGGTTGCAGGTAGTTTAGAAGAAGATGACTCTTGTGCCTTATCTGTTCCTGGTAGCTCTGATGATGTTTTCTCATTTATGATATCAGAGGAATCTGTGCTAGACGCCCAACTGGTGTCATTTCCAGACGAATTCGGTTTGTCGTTAGCCTGCGTATCGGTTGGTTCTGTCGTGGTCGTCTTTGGTGTTGTCGGAGTCGGGCGTGGCTGTCTGGTGGTCGGTCTAGATGTTGTACCTGCTCCCGTTTCATCCGGCACACAGTAGATGTCCTCGCACCTTGGATAGCTGTGCTTGCCCAAAATATGAATCGAACAGTTGTCAACGCTGCGCTCAAAACAAAAAACCCAATTTAGCTGTGATCAGGTACAAGGCGAAATGCCGCAGCAGCTCACCTCAGGTGGTGCGTGGCGGTGCACTCGAAGTGGCACTTCGAGTAGGTTAAGAAGCGATGTTTCTCGCATAGATTGTCGGGGCCACCGGCTGCAGTTTGGGCATAAGAAGAATGTGTTGGTCGGAACGGGTTGTCGACTGTCGGCGAGTACTTACCGGCGTTATCAAAGGACTTGCAGTACTTGGACTGCGGTCGGGATTGCGACTTGCCTGTGTAAACCGAAAACAACAAAAAATTAAAGGAGTTGCGCCAGACGCATTTGCTCTGGGGCTAACCTGCTGCCTCCGGCTGGGTCTGGGCAACCGCCAGCAGCAGCAACAGTGCCTCCCAGAAAAGTAAAAGTTTCATGCCCGCCTCGCGCTAATACTCCAAGCAAAACTTTGCCACGAAAATCCCCAAAAAAAAACTTTGACTTGCAGCGGATGTGCGGATGTGCGGATGTGCGGATACGATTGCTGGCAACTTGGCTGTGGCTGTGGCCCACGGCTTTGGCGCTTTATTTATATGGCCAACGGGGCGTGGCAAGCACTTGAAGCTGTCTGTAAAATCGTATAAATAATTTCTTTGCAATTCCATTCTTTGGCTTTGCCTCCACTCATCGCAATCTTGAAGTACTGCACTAACGAAAAATGATTACAAACTTTTGCCAAATGACATCGTAAAAAGTTAAATAAGTTTGCCAGCAACAACAACAACAACAGCAACAACAACAACAAGTGGGCAAAACGCCACGATAAGTGCCAGCGAATTCCATGCATAATTGCATTTTGAATATTTATTTGCCGTTCAACTTGAAGTGTTTGCTTAAGAAGCAAAACCCACCCATCCACCACCTGCCGCAACTCCTTGCTGTTGCTTGGCAACGGATGCATTTCATTATTTTGCCCAACCATCTTTCAAATGCAAACCCAAAGTCTCAGCCATCAAATGTCACGTTCTGCAGCCTGGGCGATATTTTGCTGACCCTTCGAGTAGCTACCAAGGCAATTATTACTTACTATAGATTGAATTTCAATTTAACAATAAATTGTGGGCATGGCCAGGCAGACACTTGCTTAACGAGCGCAGCTCATAAGAAGTTGCGTATACGCAGCGTTGCACGCATTTTATTTTGCGGCCATTTATAACAGAAGTTTTTGAAAGTGAGAGAAGAGCGGCAAAAAGGGCAGAAAAGAGAAGAGTTATTTCTTCGTTTGAGAGCAAACTGAAGCAGTTTTTGACCATGAAGCATAAATGAGAGATTGCGTATACGCAGCGTAGCTCGCAATTTATTTTATTACCATTCATAGCCCTCGATGCCATATACTTTAAGCAGTCCAGAATATAGGCTAGATGTCTTCCTGGTCGCTTAATAATTATTATAATAACCAATTAAAACTTTGTTTTCAGCTTATAACCTTTGACGCCGGGTGCCTTGATTTCATGCGGCAAGGTTTCATGTGGGCCATGTTGCCATGCGATAAGTTTTCTTCGGGACCATTTCCAAGTGTTATCTGGCCTAATCGATTCTTAACATTTAGTCCAACCAAATTCAAATTTGACGCACAAATTTAAAGTGCGATGCAATCAATTGAAAGCCGTTTGTAACTTTTATCAAAGCACGCCAAAAATAAAATATTGTATATAAATTGAAAAAAAAAGGCGAATTGTGTGTGTTTGCTTAATTTATAATTCGATTATTTGTTATTCCTGTTCTCCCAAAATAATTAATAATTCAACAATTAAAATGAAATTGAGCCGCCGTGTCTATTTGGGCTGAATCGAACTCTCAATTTGAATGCATTAATTGCATACAAAATTTACATATATATATATATACATATATATATATACAATTTAAGCATGGCAAAGTAATTATAAATAATGAAATGCGTGTTCAACTCAATTAGCAATGCTGAGAAATGTTCCCTTTAATTTTAAATTCCAATACTAACACAAAATAACACCACAAGCGAGTGCTTTCACTTCAGCTCGTATTGCATTGCATGGGCCATCGGAGCATATAGTCCGATCTTCAGAACATTTTCAGGGCTTAGAAAGGGGCATAAGAAAGTGTGTGCAGACACCAAAGCCCAAGGCTTTCTCTTTGATAGATAATAATAATAATAGATAATAATAGATAAGCATTCACAATTTGCAAAGAGAGCTCTCCCTTTCCTTCCTTTTGATCCCGTTCTCCGCTTTAAGGTCTGAGGAGCCACCAGATAGGCTAGACGGGACATTATCTAAGCTAATGTGTATGTTATTTTTGATTTCGATTTTTGAAAGGTTCTTAAATTGTATACGTATAGAAAAACAAATCGTTTCAAACGAGTAAGTTTAGAGGTCGCTGGTTCAAATCGCCATTGTCAATACAAAATCACAAAATGCAGGTTTTTTTTGGCTTAGTTTAAGGCGTGGCAGTTCCTATTTAATAATTTTATCAAGTCTTGTAAAATTTGTATTCTTCTTTGATTTCATTATTTGGCTTGTTTCTAAATGACATTTTTCTGAGAGGGAATTGCCGCAAATTTAATTATGCTTGGCTTCAATCAGGCGAAACACAGTTTAAAGTGTTTTTAAAGTAATTGAATTCTATTAAATTTGTTATAAAATGCTGTCCAAAGAACAAAGCGTTGCTGGCGAACACTTTAAGCGATGCCCGTCTTGACAACGCACCCCTTTTTATTGGTCAGCAAGCCAGACGCCAGATCCTGGTGCCTGGCTTCTGGCTCCTGGCTCCTGGATATGCTTGTGCTTTTTACTTATATTTAGAGCACGTTGCGCCCCAACGAGCAGGCAGCAATTAAGTTTGTAAAAGTTAAAAGTTTCCCCAGCGACAACATTGTCTGGTGCGACCCTTTTGTTTGCACGTGGCCCAATACGTTGCCATTGTTATACCCTGTGCGTCCCGACTAACCTGGGAGGGTACTATAGGCTGGAGCAAAAGGTATGTCACAGCCGGAGAGAAGGGAAGCTTTTTATAGCTATAACAATGACAAACTCCGGCTGAGAGATTTGGCAAAATTATGTTGATTTTCGCATACTTAAATTTAATACTTAAATTTAATAAAACATAAATAAATGGATATCAATTTTAAGCAATCATAAAATAAATAAGCCGCGCAATGCCCGTTAATTTCCTCTGTTTTTCACCTAAAATAGCTTATGAATAAAAACTTACCCAGCCGCTGCTCCTGTGTATGTTTCCATCAAGTTGCAGGGTATTCGGCAGTCGTGCTGTTTGGCTGACCATGGAGTGCTGTTCTATGCGATTCACATTCGTATCTGTAATTGCGGCCGCGTCTGCACGTGTTGTTGCGAAAGGCGTAAACTGTATTTTTATGACACTAAACAAACAATTAACTCGACGCCTAAGCAACACGGCCAAGACAATGGCCAACACAGACACGCCCACACACACAGCCAGCGGAAGTAAGAGAGAGGAAGAGTGAGAGAGGGGGAGGGGAGGGAGAGCTTAACTGGTCTCTGCGCCTGGTTACTTCATTTTTGGGCCTCGTGTCAATTAGAATGCTAATTTTTATGCAAATTTTTGCGGATAGGTTTCAGTTTTGCCGAGTGGCTCTTGGAATGGGAGATTGGGTTGTTTGTTTCTCTGGTCTGCGGAGACGGCATTGTCTGGCGCTTTGTTTATTTGCTTGTTGTTGGCGCCAGCCTGTTCTTTATTATGGGCACACAAGCAGTTGGCGGAAATAAACTAAACTAAATTCGCTGCAAAGGAAATTGCCAGCAGGTTGGCGCAAATTAATGGACATTCCTGGCCAACAACTCAGGCCCTGAACAGCAGGCACTGCTTACCATAAGCCATTCGCCACAAGCCTACGCAGAATCCTGCCGCAGCGCATCTTGTCAGAGACATTTCCATAAATTCTCAAATCGAGTCAGTAAATATTCATTTATGCGTACAAATTAATGTTGCGAGCGAAAGTGAGCTGTAAAAGCCATCGATAGCCCCAAATTGGCAATTAATCGATAACTTATCTATCGATTAATAACTAACTGAGTCCGCAGCCTGTATATTTAACCCTATTTCAGACTATCAAGCAGGGTAGCTAGAGTCTAATACATGACGAAGCTATCGAAAATACTGATTGATACACAAGTTTATGCACCAATCGATAATATTTGTGGATAGCTTTTAGTTTTATATGCCTTTTGAGACTTTCCAACGTTGAAGGTTGTCTGTTATGAAAGTCTATCGATAACACTATGGTGAAGATTAATCGATAGTATTATCGATATATTGGCAACATTTGCAAGCAAGCTGTTAAAAGCGATCCTAAAGCCCTAGATAGGTAGCTGTTCAAATAATTATCGATAAGCCAGCCCAACAACTGATCGATAATAAAAGATAAATAATTGTTCTTTTTTGGTCTAGGTCCCTTTCAGCAACATGTTAGCTAGTTTCACACAAAACGATAGTCTTATCGATAACTAGACAGTTAAAGTCAATACACTTAAAAGTAGAAAACATAACAATGAGAAATATTGTTCATATTTTAAGGTCATATTAATTAAACATTAGAAATTGGAGTAGGTGTATCGATAACACCAGCATGGCAATTATTTGATAAAATTAACGATATGATAGCTGAATAAATGTTGGCTTCGTTTACTTCTCAATCTGTATCCTGTACATGTAACCCGATTTCATCGAAACGATAACTTCGATAACTTCCCAGCTCTAGAGCAGAGGAGCCACAAAATTCAGAAATATCCAAAATATTTTCAGTAAATATTTATTAATGAATACAAATTAAAGTTAAGCAAAATAAAAAGAGCATAGTAGGTAGTGTATAATAGAGCTGCAAAACGATCGATAACACCAGCATGGAAATTAATCGATTAATCGATAATATAGCTGAAAAGCTGTTGGCTTTAAACTCTTGACAGCATGTATATATATGTACAGATTTCCGACTATCAATGGAAATATCGATAGTTTGGCCAGCATTGGTGCATATAGTTGAAAACAGGAACCAGGCCGTGAGAGAGAGAGAGTGAGAGAACGAGAGTCATTCAATAGTTGTGCTCGCTGCCAAAGAATGTGAAGGTCTCATTACAGCGTATCTCATAGCAGTCCGGAAACGATGTGAAGTGCCTCGATAAGCGCAAATCGAATATGAACTCACAGTACGGATAGCTGTGAAGATTGTTGTTAGTTGTTTTTTTATTAAACGAAAAGTTATACAACTTATTGCTCGATATCGAGTGGTAATATGAGCTTAAATCTAGCGCGAACTTGACTGAAATGAATTTCGACTTTTGCCAACCCCACGCACCCATGAAATACTTACCACGTGCAACCAGTATATTATTCGCATTGGCAATGAATTGGCGCTGCCAGCTATTTTAATTGTTATGCAATTGAAATGCCGGGGCACCCTTTGGCCCATTTAAAAAGCACAACTTTGGCAAGTTTTGTTTTCAAATGCAATTCACACACAAGTTGAAAATAACATAAATTGTGAATTGTATGTGAGGGTGCGGTTGGGCTTCGGCTTCGGCTTGGGGCTGGGCTTTGGCTTGGGCTTGGGCTCTTGGGCTCTTGGGGTTGGGTATGTGTATGTGTGTATAGATGTGTGATTGTTGATTGCTCGACTTACATTGGCGGAAACCAGAGGAAACAGCGATATGTGCAGAGTATGCCAAACGGGCGCTTGAATTCACCATCCGGCGTCTGTATCGAGCCCGAGTTGTGCTTCTTCCAGCACTGCGAGGCCCAGCCTGTAACCGGAATATATATGTAATCCATAACTCACATCAAAACAATTGAAACAATGGGCCATATTAATGCAAAATAGTTGTACATCGAGTTCAACATATTTTTGTCTCTTTCATAAACAATTTGCGTTGCGGGTTGACATGGCGTATGCGTAATATGCGCGTAATATATCAAATACGATTTTGGGCTGCTCATTAACACGCGCACGGACATGCACACGCATTATCTATGCTAAATTGAATTTAGCATCAAAATAAACGAACACACACACATGGACACACGAACAACACGCATAACGCATTACGCATACGCAACGTGGACCCCAAAAAATAATTAATGCTATTTTGAACGGGCCAGCAATTAGCGCGACACAAAAACCAAATAAAAAAAAATATGTACATGTGAAAAAAATTTTAAAAAAATTTTAAAAAAATATTTAGCAGCACTCCGATAACGATAACGAACCGATATACGATATACGTACTGCCATAATTGTAATCACACAAACAGCATAAAATTAAGAGCAACACGAATGTGATGGTCGTTGTGCCTTTGCGCGTGTGTATCGCTGTGATTGTTGTTGTTGTTGTTATTGCTGATGTTGTTGTTGTTGCTGCTGTTGTTATCGATTTGGCCATTGCATAACAATCATTGACACAACCGTCCCCGTCCAGCATGCTCCAGTTTTTGGTGTCTGCTCTCAGTGCGAGTGCCAGCGCCAGTGCCAGTGCCTGTGCCTGTGCATGCCCGGGCGACAGCATCTCGATGTTCGCCGTTTGTCTCGACGCGTTTTTAACTGTCATCAGCTTTATGCGCGACACATCTAACGAAGCCCATAATAACACCCGCACACACCCACACACAACCGCACACACACACACACACACAGCCCAAGACAGCAAAGAAATGCCACAAGTTTGTTTTTCTTTTTTTTTTTTGTTGCCCCTAAATTGATGACAATTGATAAATTATCGCACTCGCGCTGAGTGCCCGGCCTATGTGTTTGCGTGCGTGTGCGTGTGCTTGTGTGTGTGTGTGTGTGTGTATCTGTTTCTGCACGAGTGTGTAGCCAAAACCAAGCTCAAATCTGAACCTCCAGCCGCAAGCTCAGCTCGAGTACACATGAATCCATTGGATGCATCAATATATTTCTTTGCACACACTTTCAGCCTGTAGCTTTTGGTCTTTCTGTAGCTGTGTTTGCCTCTATATTGTTGTGATTAGCCAGCTTTATCTGTATTTGCAGCTCAGCTCACATGTATCTCAACTTCCAGGCCAGCCCAGCCGCTCGTAGCTATTCACATTTGTGGGTCTCTATTGGCATGCTTAGCATTTCTCTTCATTTTTCACTTTTTTTAGCTCTGGATATTTATTTATTATCTTCAGCTCCGTCTCCTGTCCAGGTTTATATCTGTATTTCCAGCTAAGCATCGTATCTGTATCTGCGCTTCCATCTGTATCTTAAACGTTTATTGTATCTAAATATCGCATTTATATCTGTGTCTTCAACTCCGACTGCAGCTGCACTCTATCTGTCTCCCTCTCTCTCTCTCTCTCTCACTCTCTCTCTCTCTCTGCATCTCACATCCACTTGTTTGTCAATCCGTATCTTCAGCTCCATCTACTGCCCAGATTTATATCTGTATTTCCAGCTAAGCATCGCATTTGTATCTCTATCTCTATTTCCACTCGTATCTGTATCTTTGTCGACACTGGCTACGCAGCTCACATCTGATGGAATTGTTGACACCTTTTGTGTTGCTGCGTCAATCAGTCAGTCATCTGTCTGTCAGTCAGTCAGTCAGTCAGCCTGTCTGTCAGTCGGACTGTCTGTCCCTCAGCATGTCTTTCCGACTGTCAACTGGAGCGGCGAATAGCTGCCTCTGCTGCTTCTCATAATTTGTAGCCACTTTTGTTGTGCTATTTATAAAAAGCATTTTGCGCTTCGCCAATCTCAATGTGAATTTCGGTATAAATTCCCAACACACCCCCACCCCGCCACTCACCCACACACACACACACACATGAACAGCTTTTGCTTTAGCCTTAAAGTATTTACAGTGTTTGGCTTAAATTCGACTTATTCACTTGCATTCACTGGAATTGATGTTAAGTCCTTGATTGAAACCTTAACAGAATATTCTCCAGCCGGGAGTGCACGACTTACTAACTTACTCACTAAATAAATAATAAATAAATCAGTTATTTACAGAATCTTAATCATTGTCAGAGACTTCATGACAAAACTTCGATTTATGCTGAAGAACCCTTGACTTAACCTCCATGTTTTATGGATATTATGAAAATGGATCTCCCTCCATGGACCAAAAGAGCTTTTATAGACTTCGTGTTATATGATAATCAGTCTCTTATCTGAACAGTCGGACGTACATAGCAAGATCTAGCTTAAGATCTTATCCCTTTTTCCTGATCAAGAATTTAACTGCTTTCTCGGCTTCAAGTGCCCCCGTTGGACCCCAATATACCCATTTAGGCAATTTCTATGTAACAGGGTATAATTAACGCAAAACATATTAATTCATATAGCAGATAGAATATATATTCAGTTGTATTCAACTCACCAATTTCAATGGAGAATTACAAATTTAAAGCCAGACTTCGATGTGGGACAAAGACGAAACACTTGAGGCGTGAATTTTCAAAATAATTTGCACACAGTTTTCAGCATATTCGAGTGCAGTCAGTCAGGTTTATTCGCAATTCAAATTCACGTGAAATCGCAGAAGCAAATAAAAATTTCATATTTACTTAAATGTTTTCTTCGTTTTTTTTGTTAGGGGTTGCATTCGGTGCGTAATGCACAATTAATTTGTTTATAATCTAATTTCATGCAAAAATTGCTGTAATTTGCCAATCAGCATTGAAACTGAAGTCCGGGCAATGCGCGCGCGCTTCCAACAATAAACAACAGAATCTAAAATTCTAACAAGCCAATCAACGCACAACGACCACGACCCAAATCCGAGATACAGATACAAATAGAGATGCGGCCACAGATACGGATACAGAGATATTTGTAGATACAGATACAGATACAGATACAGATACAGATACAGATACAGATACAGATACAGATACAGATACAGATACAGATACAGATACAGATACAGATACAGATACAGATACAGATACAGATACAGATACAGATACAGATACAGATACAGATACAGATACAGATACAGATACAGATACAGATACAGATACAGATACAGATACAGATACAGATACAGATACAGATACAGATACAGATACAGATACAGATACAGATACAGATACAGATACAGATACAGATACAGATACAGATACAGATACAGATACAGATACAGATACAGATACAGATACAGATACAGATACAGATACAGATCAGATACAGATACAGATACAGATACAGATACAGATACAGATACAGATACAGATACAGATACAGATACAGATACAGATACAGATACAGATACAGATACAGATACAGATACAGATACAGATACAGATACAGATACAGATACAGATACAGATACAGATACAGATACAGATACAGATACAGATACAGATACAGATACAGATACAGATACAGATACAGATACAGATACAGATACAGATACAGATACAGATACAGATACAGATACAGATACAGATACAGATACAGATACAGATACAGATACAGATACAGATACAGATACAGATACAGATACAGATACAGATACAGATACAGATACAGATACAGATACAGATACAGATACAGATACAGATACAGATACAGATACAGATACAGATACAGATACAGATACAGATACAGATACAGATACAGATACAGATACAGATACAGATACAGATACAGATACAGATACAGATACAGATACAGATACAGATACAGATACAGATACAGATACAGATACAGATACAGATACAGATACAGATACAGATACAGATACAGATACAGATACAGATACAGATACAGATACAGATACAGATACAGATACAGATACAGATACAGATAAAGATAAAGATAAAGATACAAATACAGATACAGATACAGTTGTAGATACAGATACAGATACAGATACAGTTGTAGATACAGATAAATTTGAAAAATGCTTCGCATTTGCTGTTGATCTTCGCTGGAGTGAAGAGTATGTGTGTGCGTGTGTGTGTGCGTGTGTGTGTTTGTGTGGGCTGAGGCGAGGGGCGGGGCAGGTGGCCTTCAGCGATCAATGTCATTTCGTTTGATTCCATTAAAGTGCGACCCCAAAAAGTAAGCCTGAAAACTGTGAACTACGCAACGCGCAGCGTAAATGGAAATGGCAGCTGCCCAAAGGGGGAATGGGAGATGAGAGGTGGGTGGATGGCTGAAGGAGTGACTGGGTGACTGGGTGGAGGGGTGGCTGGGTTAGCGTTGTGCAGCGGTTAGCTGTGAAATCAATCGCAACCCTTTTTGCCACATCACGTGGCCAGGTAGAGCCACGGCGCGCCGCAGGTGCGTAAGTTAACAGCTCCATTGACTACAGCCACATAATTTATCTTATTTTTAGCCCGGCCGCACACTTTGGGGCCACGTTTAAGGCAGGCCACACAAGCCAAACTCCCCCTCCCCATCTCTACGGCCCTTTGCCACGTAATACACAAATTTCAGCATAACTTTGACTGGCTTATAAATGTCGAACGATTTATTTGCGGCTGTTTGCACAGGTGCGCGGGCCCAGCCAGCCAGCGGGGTCAGCAGATACTACTTACCCACACATACACACACATATATACATATATCTTTATATATGTATACATCTATACTATATTATGTGTGGTATATGGTAGCTATATCCCAACGCTGACGCGCTTAACAAAGTGTTTCAAATTTGTTTAGTGCAAAAAAGTACTGAAAAAAAAAAACAGGCGGCAGTGCCCGACCAGCAGATACCCTAGGCCCAAAACCGAGCTACTTTTGTCCTCTATATATACCCTCACACACACATACATTTACACACACACACATGCATGCTGCTTCTTCTTGCCTTTGCCATAGTCTATGGAATATGCCTCCTCAAGTAAATTCGGTACTTATTGTCCGATCGTTTGAAACTTTTGAGGACTTGAACGGCGCAAACAATCGGACACGCATACCTTTGGTATGCTAGACTTGACCTTAAAAAATATAATTCAATCGAAAACGGAAGAGCTTAACAAAAAAAATATGCCCAGTCTATAAAGCCAAGTCTTCTCTCAATTCTAGGACAAAAGATCGTCCCGATCAAGTATACATATATAATTACCTTCTGGAGCCGGAAACACGTCTTCCTCTACGGCAACCTTATAGCCGCTTTGCCCACAATCAATGGATATGCGATGCGATTGGGAAAGAAGTCTGCGCTGCTTTTTGGCCAGCGTTCAGTTGGGCGTTGACTCTAGGTAAATGGGGCGTGGCAGTTGGCATTGATAGCTTCTGTGGCCTTTTTGCCACGTCTTTTCGCATCAGATGAAGTGCAAAATCGACTTGCGAGCTAGAGCTGAGAGAGTGCAACTTTAATGGGCCACTCAGCTGCAAAATGAATGAGTATGTTAGTGAGTGTGTGCGAGTGTGTGTGAGTATGTGTGAGTGTGTGTGAGTGAATGAAAGAGGCAGGTGCACCGGCGGGTGCACACGTGGCGTATACGCAATCCGCAAAGCCCAATGCAATGCCGGGCACGTCGCAGGAGTTATCAAGTGTTGTTGCTATTGTTGTTCGTGTGGTATTCAAAGCATTCACGAGTACCAGCAGCTCGAGCTGAATAAACAAGCGAATCATCTGCGAATCAAGTCAACAAGTCATTTTCCACTCAAAAGCCAGTTACATTCAAGGAATGCACTTGGAAAAAAGGCAACTCGTGTAGAGAATTCCAAACAATGCATTTATTCACTTTACGAGCGAATAAATATTCAACATTTATATTCATTAAAGCAACTACATTTAATCGACTCATGAATAAATGATTCGCAAATGATTCGTCTGTGCGTATTTGGGCGAGTGTAGCACTCACGAGTTTATCGACAACAAATTTCGATAAATATTCGATAACTCGCTCTAATTATATGAAATCGATAAGAAACGATAACAGATATCTTCAGGATACACCAAATTAAGTATAAAGATTCTCGCATTCATTCGTCCAGAATCTTTCACTTTATTTTTGATACCCTCCCCGTTCCACTTAGATTTACAAAAAATGTTCTTGCTATTGCCTTGAGCTTAGGTACTTACCCACAATTGAATGCCAGATTTACATCCGTAAAGTTTCAGAAATATCTGTTAGTAAGCACCCGAATTCATCCGAGTATTCGAAACTTCCTTTGAATTGTATTCGGAATCCAGGACGAATATTCACACTCGTATTCGGCATTAAAAGACAGCTCACAAATGATTCGTGATTGATAATAGAACTTTTTTTCACTCTATATGCGCGATCTCATATAAAATTACATTTAATTTAAATTAAGCATAAAATTAACTTAATAGAGAGAAAAAAAAAAAGAAAAAAAAATGTTTATGAACTAGATATATAAATAGAAATTGAGTACAATAGCTAACAATATATTTAACTCACCGACCAACCGAGACGGGGCCCAATATACCCCGCGGGCTGGCCGATAGCTAGGGTATTCTACGCTAGCATCTAGCTGAAATAGTTTAAGAGCGTGCACTTGACGTTGGTGCAATCGGGCAGTGAAGTGAACAGGACGCAGGATAACTTGTAGTCGTAGATGAATTCGCAAGTGGGATAGCTGCAACAACAGAGAGCGAGAGAGAGAGAGAGAGATGGGGAGAGAGGAAGGGAGCAAGAGAGGGGAGGGGGGAGAGAGAATTATAAGAAAGAAATTGCCAGAATTATTGAATTTCGTACTGTGATGGGAATTGCAATTGGGCTTAAGCTAAACCTTATTATGCCACTAGAGATGCGCTCGACTCGTGTTTGATATTCGTGACACGATATCGAAACGATTAAACGATAAACGATAAAATAAATTCGATATTTATCCTGTACAGAAATGGACGCTGAAGTTTTCTTTTGCTTTCGTGACACGACGCAATGCAACTCGTGCGTGAGCTCAGAGCTAGCGCTCCAGATAGAGATGGGCGTCTATGGCCAACTTGTTTATCGATAGCTAGATAGTTATCGATAACGATATATGTTAGCCAAGCAACTAAATCAAGCGGCTTTCTCTGATATAAAAATGGAAGTGAATTCCAATAAATCTCATCTGTTTCGACATCGATAAATATCGAAAAGAAAAGAAGTTGAGTATCGTGTCGTGCGTTCATCTCTGGCTTTGGATTAACTACGGACTAGGAGTGCAGTATGGGTATGTGAGAGTGGGCTGGGCTTACCTTATTGTAAAGAACCAAGTGCACTTGAAGTTGCACAGAATGCCATACGGTTTCTTCAGCTGCTCCTTCTTGTTGACGATGGTGTTCTGTAGATTGTAGCCATCGTAGCGCCGCCAGCAGTGATTGATGTTGCCTGCGTATGGGAAAGTGGAATGTGGTATTCCAGGTTCGTTATGTGTGGTAGGGGGAGGAGCGCAGTAGTTGCAGTAGTAATTGGCAGCTGTCCGGCTGGAGACTTACGTCGTATGTGATGGCTGCCGCCATGATGATGAAAATCGCGTCCCTCCAGCTGGCTGCCATGGCCATTGGTTGCCTCGGCGCCCAGCAGGATGCTGTTGCTGCCAGCTCTGGAGCCGCCAAAGAGCAGCAGATACCAGAGCAACAGCGAGCTGGCGATAAAGATGTAAGTCACTAATTTGGCCATTTCCGGCGGAACTGTGCGCTAGACTTGAACTGGCTTGCGGCAGGGCGGGACTTCGCCTGCTAAATGCACTGCTAAGCGAGTGTCTGTGTCCGTTTGTGTGTGTGTGTGTGTGTGTGTCTCCCTCTCTGTGTGCGTGTGTGTGTGTGTGTGTGTGTGTGTGTGTGTGCGGGTGTGTGTTTATGGCTGTCGCTTTCGTTGCCGCTGCGAATGTCGCCCCTGCACTGAATACATTGTCTGAAAAAGTGAATTTGTTTTGCTCGAAGCTCCTCCGTTCGTTGTTCGTTGTTCGCAGCTCGCCTTATTTCTATTTTTTATTTTCCATTTTGTCATTCAGTCTACCTTCGCTCTGCGTATCTGCACACGGCATTTGTACTGTTTACTCTTTTTGTTTTTTTTTTTTTTTATTTTGTTTTTTTCGGACATCATTCATGAACCTATTCAATTGCTGAATGAGTGAGTATTTCGGCTGCGCTTCGCGCTGTCACTCACTTCGCTAATTTAGGTAATCAACAGCGAATTAGCTTAACGGCTGCCTCTCTCCATCTCGCTCTCGCACTCTCGCTGCCTCTCTCTCTCTCTCGCTGGGAGACTCGCCATGTCAAGGGGCTACGTACCCCCATCGCAGTCAACGCACCCAAGAATTTGTGTATCTAAATTTAGCATTGATTGCGTTAAGGGCAGGCGACGATACCATGTAAATACGAACTATCGATAGCTGATTGACTCGATTGTTATCGATAGTTGAACAAACATTTATCGATTGACATTCGATACTTGTCATTTTCGAATTAACAATATAACTTTACGCGTTTTCTCTGTAATAATTTATCGATAATCGGTTGGGTTATCGATAACATTTGTTTTGACATCTGCATGAACAATACACATGCAACCTATACCAATTCATTATTATCGCTTGTGAAAACTTATTCATTTCGATTAGGCATACTAGTTCTATCGACAGTATTTTATCGATAGCATCAAGTGAACGATATCAAAGCATTTCAATGTAAGGAGCTCGTTTTATAAAGCATATTTAAATATCATTGGCAAGAAAAGAAATCGATAATCGCTTATCAAATTTAATGCGGAATATTCAATAATTTCGTTGTTCGACTGGCAACACGCATGTTATCGATAGCATTTTGCATTCACATTTTATCGAAATGCCTTTTAAACTAAATTAATGAACCTTTTGCTACGCAAAAACGTTGTAAAGCTTTCGTAAACAAACTTTACAGCCATGTAATATGTCAGCTGAAAGATTCCTCGCTCCACATTTATGGTCACAGCATCAGTCACATTCACATTCACATTCACATTTACAGTCACATTCACATTGACATTCCGAGCTAGTCAAAGTGTAATAAATTAAAAATTTATTTAACTGCAGTTGACAATTTATTTGCATTTAATTTACCACAAAAGAAGAAGCAGAACACGAGCTATGAACAAGACAAAATAAAAGAAAACTTGCCAAAATCATGAAGTGCCAAGAAACAAGGGCCCCAAAGGCTGCCGTCGCGCCACTCAAGGGATTGTGACGGCGCGGGGGGCCTGGCTTTGGGTTGGGGGAGGAGCTGGTATTGTAAAGTGCGGTATGTGGCATATGCAATGCAATGAAACGAAATGAATGTCGCTGAATGAGTGTATGAATGCATGAACGAATGAATGCATAACTAACACGAAGCCAAGACCCAGCCAAAATCCCATCCAACCCAGCCTCCCACTTGACGGTCTGCCCTGGGGGGAACCGAATATGAAACTCGTAATGGAACTGCAACTTGAACGGGAACTGGAACGGGAACGGAAACGGGAACTGGAACTGGCTGAATGAAGTGTTTGGCAACACTTAAACTTGATTAAAAATTTAATAGCCAGCAGGGCAAACATTTGCTTCAATTTCTTTGGCTCATCCGTCTTCAGCTTTTGGTAACTGCAGCAACAGCTCCCCCCTCCACAACCAAGCCCTGTCCGCCTCTTTGCTCGACATCTCTATTCAATTACACTACTTGCCACAACACTTGTCCGACTGTGAGTGTATTTGTGTATGTGTGTGGCTTATCCCAATGAATGCATTTCATTTATTTGCCATTAGAAACTCTAGTAACAAAAATATTTTCATATTTAATTAAACAAAAATGTTTCTGACAGTCAGACTGACTCAGGTTAACTCGCAAAACAATCGATAAAATGTTATCGATTTTGTGTGTTTAATACAATATTTATCGATATTTGATAGCGTTTGTAGCATATTTGTGTTGTATTTATATAAAACTGCAATAATGTTCGAGTTATGCTTTAAAAATATATGTGATATATTATTTACATCACAGATTGTAGCTTGTTACTAGTTGTATCGATATTTATCGATCTTACTAATATTTCAAGATTGAAGCGTTCACAAAGACAGACAGACAGACGTTCTGATCAACAATATGTATACTCTTTGGATTCGAAGCTGCTTGATATATTATTTACATTACAGATTGTAGCTTGTTATTAGTTGTATCGATATTTATCGATCGATTTAAACAGGCTATATTGTGTTTTATCTTACGAAAACACATTTTTATGTAATTACAACTAACACATATGCTGAATATTATATTGTGTTGAACGCGTTTTGATTAAGCTTTGGAAAAGTTTTCAAGCTTTGAAACTATTTGCCGCTTAAGCTTGGCACATGATGAGTGCGTAGAACTTAAAGCTCGGCAAATAAGTGAGCATTTCACATAAAGTTGAGCGAAAGGCCTAGAAGCCCGATTCAAAGCTCGATCGGTGGTCAGCTTTTCAAGTTTATTGAATGCCAACACAAATACTCAGTAGTACTTAGCTCTTATTGGCTTTAATTGTGCAAACTTTAATTCTCTGAAAAAACAACAAAAAACAAATAAATAGAAATAGAAATAATAATAAAAGAAGAAAACAATGACCAGCAGCGAAGCAACAGCTCGAGTTGTAAATGATGAGGCACTCGTCAGCCCACAGGGCAAACCCACAGCCAAGCCCAGAGACAGCGCCCGCGTCTCTGGCGATGCCATGATAAACTCGCTGACCCGAGCCAGAGGAGAAGAGACGATGCCGACAGCGTCTTCAATTAAATAGTAATACATAATAATCAACAAAAAAAAAACAACGCACAACAAAAACAAAATAGAAAACAAGACGACTACAGTCGGGGCAGCGTTCGACTAGCAGATACCCTGTAGTTAGAGCTGGGTTACCTTTAAACAGATTCACCACAAATTCTTCTTCCAATAACTTGGATACATTTAGGTCGATTTGAGGGAAATTTTAAGAACCCAAATATTGCGCCCAACTCTGTGTATAAGCCAAATCTAACGACTGTACCTTTCAGAATTCATGATTTTATCCATTTTATGGAAAAGAAGAGAGATATAATATACATATAATCTTCGAGTTATGCCATAAAAACCATGTCATAAAATCGATATTTATCGGTCTTTTTAATATTTCAAGATAAAAGCGTTCACAGTGTTAGGCAGACTGACTTCCTGGTCTAGAATTTAGATACTTTTTATCTTCTTTTGCTTAGGCCTCCGTCTCGTATATTGGAAATGCGTCGCACAATGCATGCTTCGTCACAAATACCCCTGGTTAGGGTGAAGCAGAAAAAAAGCAACAAACCAATTGATGAAAGCAACGACAACAAGAGTCAACAACAGTCCCAAACTAGGCAATAACAACAATGCGACAAATACCGATGCCGATGACGATGACGATGACAAATTCGATAGCCGCTGCCGCTGCTGCTGCCGCTGCTGCTGCCGCTGCTGCTGCTGCTGCCTCTGCCGCTGGCGTTGCCCAACTGGGACAAGCCGAGTCTAGAGATCGAGCTGACAGTGCCATTCCGAACACGAACGCGTCGCAATGTCTCAACAACGTTTGGCTTATCCAAGGGGCGATCGGGCCGCTCTGGTCTTTGGCAGCGCTGCGATCTTTCTGCTGCTGCAGCTGCTCCAGCTGGCGGAGGTGACTGGCTACAGGGCACTGATACCCGCCGATTCAGGTACGTACCAATTCAATTGTTACCTGAGCACGCACTTTTACTCCCTCCATTTCTCTCTCTCTCTCTCTCTCTATCTCTCGGTTTAGCAAATCCCGGCAAATGCATTTATCGAGGCGACTTGCTGCAGGCGGGCGTCAACAATGGCATCCCGCCCTGCCAGCGGCTGACATGCAACGAAGATGGCTCCATACTTATCGAGGGGTGAGTCTGGCCAGGGACATACACACACGCACACACAAACACAAATATTTGAAATGTTTTGCACTGATAAGAGGCCTGAGATCGACGACAACTTCGTGTATTGAGTTTTGAGCGTAGTTTTTTTTCGGAATTGTGACTAGAATTTGTGGGTCAAGTCTCTGGCAGCTAAATGGAGCACGAATTATGTGGAAATTGCTGAGGAAAGTGTATTCTCAGCCCAAGCAACTCAATCATCTAGTCGAAAGACAAGGTATCATCCAACAATAAGAACAATTTATAAGAGTATCGGAGAGTCAAAGATTCAATATCTGTGTGCACTATAGTGATATGTGTGCGATATTTGCTTAGCAACAGTTTATCGATATCGATATTTATCGATTTGCCATAATTCATGTGCTAAGCACATTAAGTAGCCAGTGCGAAGCCTCTGGCCTCTAGAGTCTCTGAGATCGATGGAACATATGGAAGATCGAATGGCTATACAGGCAGAAAGACTGACACGCATCATTGGCTGGCTTATCGATATTTATCGATTTGTCATAATTCATTAATAGCTTGATCAAAGTCTGCTAAATTGCCCGTGCAAAGTCTCTGGCCTCTAGGGTCTCTGAGATCGATGGGACGGACATATAGAAAATCGGATGAATAGACAGACTCCACCCGGCTTTTAATGCTCATCAACAACAAGGAGAAACCTCACTTCAACTACTTTTCACATCACAATACCCTTTAGGATACGATATAAACAGATGCTGGCCTTGTTCAGTTTCTAATAGGGTTTCAAAATTTCTGAGAAACAAGCTGCCTTAAATTCAAGTTTAGATAGATTTTGGCCGTGACATCTTGTTGAGCTTATTTTTCAATTAATATTACCCGCCCCCTTAAGCAATATTCGTAAATATTTGTCAAAAACTGAAATCGCAAATTTATATTTGCGGACGTCATAAAAAGATTCTCGAGTTATTAATAAGAAATTTATCTACACTTGCTCTTACTATTCAATTAATTCCCTTAGACTTGAACACGTATTTCTATAGCAGAGCGAGACGACAAATCTTAAGCTGTGCTCTTCTTTTTCAAGCGAAACCCCAAATATACAATTTGTATTAGACTCTGAGCAGAAACTAATAACAGCTTAAAAACTTGGACGGCCTTTAATTTTTGTAAAACTTGACCATCTTTACCGAAACTAAATTCACACTTAAAGATTTTCATTCTCCCCCTCTCTCTCTCTCTCTCACACCCTCTCTCGTATAGGTGCGGCAAACTGCGCATCGAGAAATGCAATCGGGGCGAGCGAATCCATCAATCGAAACCCTTCCCGGAATGCTGCCTGTTGAGATACAAGTGCAAGCAGCCGAACGGCGCGCCCTACTACATTGAGCGCGATGCCGCGGAAGGGGCGTAGAAAGGGGGCGGCGATGTACCGCTGTCCCCGATGGAGCACGGGATCGACTGGCAGCTGACCAGCGCCTAAAACGCAAAGCTATGCTAATTTATTTTGTACATTTCCATTTTGTATGTCGAATCAAGCAACTGTTTTTTACTTTACATATACCCTATAATACATATATATAAAGAGTTTTTGCTGCCTGATTGAATGACTGACTGACTGATTTGCTTCATGACTGACTGTCTATCGGACTGACTGATTGAATAGTTAGCTATATGACTGACTGAGTAGATTGAGATTGAGATTGACTGACTGACTGACTGACTGATTGACTTAATGACCAACTGACTAACTAACAACTATCTATCTGATTGAGAGGTTCTGACTGTCTGCATGACTGATTGACTGACTGACTGACTGACTGACTGACTGACTGAATGACTGAATGACTGAATGACTGAATGACTCATTCTACGAATCAAACTTCTTTGCATTTTAAGCATGATTTTTCACCTAAAATAGTTCCCCTTGTGAATCTTTATTATTTTTAACATATATATATATATATATGTGTATAGATGTTTGTAATACCTGCAGAGCTTTTATTTTTCAATGTGTGCTCCCAGATGCCGCTGCTGTTGACTGGCAGCCAAAGATATAGTTTAATTACTGGGCCAACCCGCTCATAAACAGCAATTAACGTACCCCATATTAGTGCAGCACCCAACCCACCCCAGCCCCACCCAGCTCTTCACTGGAGGGGTGGCAAGTTCCAACCGGGCACTGGGGCAACTGCAACCAGAGCGGCAGTCGGAGCAGCTGCAACTGGAGCAGCTGCAATCGGAGCACTCGTTGCAAATAAGACAAGCAAGTGGGGTCTAATCGGAGCTGCCCGACTAGCAGATGCCCTGTAACAAGCGACAAGCTAGCGGCGTTGCCGTAAGATATTGATACCAATCAATGTTCGGATTTGCATTAATTTTTGTACGACGATATTTTACTCTGGCTACAAATAAAAATCACCTGGGGTGCATGCAACTAGGCTTATGATACCCCATTTGGATAGCATGCACAGGCTACAGGGCATAAAAATAAATATATAAATAAAGCGCACCTTTTGTCGCAGCACGTTAATTAGTGCGAAATAATGAACGAGTGGATGGCGGGCGGCTGGCCTGCAGTGGGCGGGGCTGGGCGGTGGCGTCTATGGAAGTGCCCCAAATGGCTGGCAGTGTCAAAGCTTAAGATGCGCGTGCAGCGCAAATTGCGCAACTTTTTTTTTCGGTCCATCCACCAAAAACCCCGACGCCCTGCCGCCTGTGCAAATTAGCCCAATTAGTTCGGCAGCTTATCGCTTGGCAACGCAGTTCTTCATGAAATCCCCCACATACTTGGACGCAAGATAAATCCGCTCTCACTCGCCCTCTCACTCGCCCACTCTTGCTGCCTCTTCAAGACACAAGATTGTTTTCGCCAAGGAATTTCTCATTTCCATTGGGATTTAATTCGTTTAAGCCCAATTAAACTGTTCTTTTGTATCAGAATTAATATTGGAACTACCCCAAATCCAAATATGAGCACCTCCGGGACCACGCAACGCCTTCACATATTAATCCCTTCAATATGAAGGCCAGCTTAGTTTAGCCGAACGCAATAGCCGGCTGTAATTTATCCTCCAATCATTTGGATCCATTGCACTACGACAAAGATTTGGTGAGTGACGTTTTACGATTTGGTTAAGTTTTAACTTAGCACGTGTAGGCCTGTTTTTACATATATATGTACATACATAATACATACATATATACATGCATACGTGCATAAGTGCATACATGCATGCATGCATAATTGCATATATGCAGACATGCATAAATGCATACATACATACATGCATACATACATGCATGCATACATACATACATGCATACATGCATATATACATACATATATGCATACATTCATACATGCATACACACATGTATATACACGCACACATGCATGCATACACACCAAAATAAAAACACAAAAAAAAACACTACACTACTAGCTAGGCATTAAAAACTGCAGAGCCTACTTGAGTTCTTGAGAATCGAGGAGTAGAGCACTTGGTAGAAATTTGTTTTATTCAAATTTGCAGCACAGCAACAAATAAGCTTCGCCTGACATGCATGCGTACATATATTCATAAATGCATACATACATACATGCATACACTAACACACGCACACACAAACATGCACACACAAAACCACACACACACACATATATATATATCGCAGATACCTTCCTCTGGCTGTTTTCATGGCGTTGTCACACTTTAAGCTCGCATAGCTTGATTGATGGCATTTCAATTTGATCGACAGTAATATTTTTTTTTTCTCTCTCAACATTTCATTATGTTAGCTTCTAATTATTTCGTAACTATGCGCTGCAGGAATTTATAATTTTACAACTTTGTCAAAGCTGAAGTGATTTACGTTGGGTTAACCTTTTCGGACATTTATTTACGTCCTGATTGATGCCGTTTGCCCAAAATTAAAGCACTTTTAAAGAAAGTTTTTTTTTTGCCATCTTCTTGCCTTCATATTTCCCAAGTACTTTATAAGCTTGCAATCCGATGGTATTTAGGAAACTTCTTTGGCTAGTTGCGGCACGTCGAGAATTGGGAAGGATTGAGTCGACCGAAAGTATGCAAAATGCGTGAGCGGAGCACACGTTTGCTCAAGTGCTCGGTAATTGGTGGGCGGATTGGGTTTAAAGTTTTGCCAGCAAATTTTAATAGGACTTAAAGTTTCTTAAGTTTTAGCTGGAAATGTGGCATAAGTGAATCGTGTTGCTCCCTTAAAGGGGACCAACCGCCACTCAATTTATTTACGGCTTTGCCAGTGCAACTCAACTAGTTGACTCTTTTAATAACCAATTTGGCAGCGGCAGCTTGAAGGATATTAGCGTTGTCCCCGTCCCAGGACAAGAGCAACTTTTATACAGGAGAGACCTGCACGCCAGATGGAACTGCAGGAAAATGCCTTGCCCGGGTGACGGGTGATGGATGACGGGAGGCGGAAGGCGGGGCCAGAGTGGAGCTTAATGGAAAAACGCACACGCACAACAAGGACACACGCACACGCACACGCACAGCTAAGTCGTGTATTATGAAAAGCTCATCTAATTTCAATCAATTGTGCCAGAGTTGAGGGCAAATTTTAAGTGCTTCTTCGTCTTCTTTCCGGCCAAAGGTGCAGCCGCGCTTATAACTTATTTTTGAAGGCTACAGGCGCACCGGGGGCGTGGCCATAATGGAAGAAACTTGCTCGAAAATTAAATTCAATAAAATCAAAATCAAATTTAATCACAGCTAAACAGATTTCGTGGCCAGCCAAAAGGGACTAGCAAAGAGCCGATCGATAACGATAAAAACAGCAATTGGTACAACGATAACGATACCGATAACAATAGCGATAATAGCGATAGCAAAAGCGATAGCGATTAGAATACATATCGATTGCGATTGCTTTGATTATAAGAGCAGCTGTAGCGATAGCGATAACTATGGAGCTCTCTAAAGCGATGATGATAACAGTAGCGATAGCTATAATTATAAGTGATAGCAAAAGAGATAACTATGGCAATATCGATAGCGAAAGTGATCACAGTAGCGATAGCGATAACAGTAATAACTGCGTTCGAAAAAGCGATCTCGATAATAAGAACTTATAGCTATAGCAGTAGAGATAGCGACAACAATAGCTAACCCGACAGATATGGCGACAATAGTAACTATGACGTTATCGATAGCGATAGCAATGTCTACTACGATAATAGTAGCCATAGCGATACCGATAACTATGAGGATATCGATAGCGGTGACGATAGCAGTACTAATAGCGATAACTATGACTAAAGCGATAACGATAGAGATGACGATAACTATATTTATACCAATAACTATAATAAAAGCGACAGAAAAATCTATAGCGGTAATAATAATGATAGCGATAATGATATAAATAAATTTAAATCGCTAACGATAACAATAATAGCGATAAAAATTCCATAGCGATCATAATAGTGATGAGAAATAGCAATAGCGAAAAGAACAACAATAGCAACGGCGATGACGATGACGATTACTATAGCGAAACGATAAGGATTAACGTTTTCTGTCTCGCTTAGCCATATTTTCGCAATTAGCCCACAAATTTCGCTATTATAGACAATTGCCTTAACCGTCCGCCCACCGCCTAAGCAGCCCCTCACAAAGTTCGCACCGTAAGCCAAACTTCAAGTAGCTCAACGAAGCACCGCCAGCGCGCTCCACCACTGAACCACTTAATCATATCAGCATAATAAGTCAACAGGAGACGCAGCAAGGTAATAAAATTAAATCCTTGCCGCGCGAGCGCTCAAAAGCTCAAAGCAATGGTTGTTGGCGAGAAGGAAGGGGAACAGGACGAGCCACCCTATGCGGGATTATTATAGTCTAACCCCGAAAAACCAACAAGCGAAATCAATGGAAAGTCAACGAGACGAACCTGCCCAGCCGTGCCGCCCACTCGCACGCAGCTAACTGTTCGCCGTTTTCGGGCGTAAAAAGGAAATAAAGAAAATAAGCAAAGCGAACGCGCAACTTAACACAGCTTGAGTCGGCTATGCTCGACTTCCAAATACCCTAAACAACAACAAAAAAACCTAGTTGTGCGCACACGAAAAACATGTTTCCATCGGTGGACGGCTCAAGCCAATGTTTAAGAACGAATTCAGGGTGGTGAATAAATTAATTTATGACGTGTTTCACACTTTTTGGAAAATTCACTGCTTCTGGTGGAAAACTTTTCCTCAAACTTAAAGTATTGTCCAATCAGCGCTGTTGGAAATTTCACCCGCAGCAGTGGAAAATTGGCAAGGAAGTCAAGTCGTATTAAATTGAATTTATTTATAAACGGAATCAGTTAAAATTTGTTATTCAAAGATATTTTTGAAAATTCAATGGAAATTTATTTCATACTTTCGGCAAAATCTACCCCTATTGTGATTCAATATGTAGCTTGGCGAAATGCACCTTCCCATGGCGAAAATTCCACTTATTTCTGGGTGGAAAATAGAGATCAAAAGAGAAATGAACAAAAAATAACTGTGTTAACTATTGCATATAACTTATTTTATCTAGCATCGGAATTGAACTGATGCATATCGCGCTTATTTTATTTTCATTCGAGACGTGTTTCAGCCTTTTCGCATAATCCACCCCGCTTGAAAAAGGGTCTGAAGTTAGCTTCAGTTAATTTTTTTTTTGTTCTTTCGATTTACTAAAAATTCGCAAATATATTTAATGAAAACATAAAGGTAGCTTTGGGGGAACGAATATACCCTGTGCTGGCAGCTGCCAGGGTATGCAAAGAAAACTGCTTACGCGCATATTAAAAATGGTTTATTTATGTTTCGGCAAAGCAAGGGCGCGGAGCGGAAAGGCTCGCCGGTAATCGATTTATGCGCTGCTATTTACAATTTGTTATTTAGGCAGCACAAACAGCGCCCCTTTCCCCTGCGCTCCTGCCCCTGGCCCAGCCCCCTGCTGCTGCTGCTGCTGCCCCTGTTACCGCTCGTTGCCAGGCAACTTTGTGAAATTCGATGCGAGGCATATGCAAAAATTCACGCAAATCATTTGGCAAAAGTATCGCTGGGTACGGAGATAAATGCGGGGAAGAGCCTGTAACTGGAGATGGGTAGACATAGAAAGGTGTGTGTGTGTGTGTGTGTATTTGCGCGGGATATTAAGAGCTCTTTAGTTAGCGCACCTTTATGAGCGAGAGAGAGAAAAGAGCTGCCAGAAGTGGAAAGCCTTTGGCACAACTTTGACTCAAAGTCACATTTAATTTGATTATGCGCCTTTCTCTCTCTCTTAAAGTATGGATAAAACACGAGCCAAGTCCACACAACTTTTTCGAAAAACAAAGGAGAGCAAAAAAAAAAAATCGCAGCAAGCAAAACTTTGTCGTCCAATAAGGATCGAAAAAAAAAATGTTTAATTAAATTAAAATAATGCCCAGTCGGTGGCGCCTCTAAGCCGCGGCGCGTGTCCAGTAACAAATTTAAGCCCAAGCCGATGGCTAAGACACAATTTCTAATTGCTCTCAAAGCTGATTTTCTATTTACTTGGACAGCATTTAGCTGCGGCGCGGATGTCGAGGTGGGCGTCCTTGCTGAATCAGCAGAGATTGCTTTTGTTTCTTAAGAAACCTTAAAGACATGAAGTACATATATATAATATATGGATATATGCTATTGTAGAATGTAGACAAAGACAAGAAGAACCAGACTACAACATTTTCCATGCATTCCATGCACCCCTCATTTCACTTCTAATTTACACGTTTTTTCCACACTAGCGAGTGAAATTTTTAAGAAATGTAACTATAGTTAAATGTTTAGCCTCGTATCTCTTACGACTTGGGCTGTGCTCTGATCCAACAGATATATATATTTAATATATAGAGATAGAGATAGAGATAAATATAAATTTGTTATTCGGTAATCACCTGTAAATTCTCGCACAGGCTTATTATGATGCACTCACAGTTGCGGGTGGATTTTCCAAAATGGCTGAAACATTAAGTTCTTACGAAGGGCTCTTAAAATTAGTTTACTACAAATTAGAGGAAACTACGTTGATCACCAATCATTAAATCATTCAGGACAAACAGTTTTATATATTAAGATAAATATATATTTGTAATTACCTACTCACCTGTGAATTCCCATGGACGATAATTTTAACGTCATCTATCAGTAGGCGGGAGATAAACTTTTGTATAAACACATCCCTGAAACAGAACAGAAAAGCAGAGTTAGTGTTTAGCTTGTTTGCTTGCCTTACTTGAATAAGTGAGAATAGCGTTGAAAAGCAATATTTATAAATACGTAATAATATAGTTATCAACATGTATACATACGTTTGTAATATTGTTGTTATCGTTTAATAATATTAATATAGTTTTTAATACGTACCAGATTTTTAAATGGCCTCAGCCATATTCTTCTGCATAATTGATTCAGCTTTCCTTATTTGTTCAAGCCGCCGTCTCCTCATTAATTCAAGCCGCCTCTTGCCATATTGAATCCTCCTTTGGTCAAGCTAAGGCGACAGCTTCATTGCTAAACCTGCCATCTTCTCCATATGATGAGCCCGGCGGCTCATTTGCCTCCTCCTACTATGCTAAAGCCGTCGCCTCCTGCCATAGTAAGGCCGCCGTCTCCACCAAAGGGGAAGCCGCCGCCTCCTGCCATAGTAAGGCCGCCGTCTCCTTTGATCAAGCTGCCGCCTCCTTTTACTTTGCTAAAGCCGCCTCCTGCCAAAGTAAGGCCGCCTCCTCCTACTAAGCTAAAGCCGCCGTTTCCTCCATAGTAAAACCAGTCTCCTGCCAAAGTAAGGCCGCCGTCTCCTACAAAGTGGAAGCCGCCTTCTGCTACTATGCTAAAGCCGCCGCCGCCGCCGCCTCCTGCCATAGTAAGGCCGCCGTCTCCTTTGCTCAAGCTGCCACCTCCTCCTACTTTGCTAAAGCCGCCTCCTGCCAAACTAAGGCCGCCGTCTGCTTTCCTCAAGCTGCCGCCTCCTCCTACTAAGTAAAACTCGCCTCCTGCCAAAGTAAGGCCGCCGTCTCCTACAAACTGGAAGCCGCCTTCTTCTACTATGCTAAAGCCGCCGCCGCCGCCGCCTCCTGCCATAGTAAGGCCGCCGTCTCCTTTGCTCAAGCTGCCGCCTCCTCCTACTATGCTATAGCCGCCGTTTCCTCCATAGTAAAAGCCGCCTCCTGCCAAAGTAAGGCCGCCGTCTCCTTTGCTGAAGCTGCCGCCGCATCCTGCCATAGTAAGGCCGCCGTCTCCTTTGCTTAAGCTGCCGCCGCATCCTCCTACTATGCCAAAGCCGCCTCCTGCCATAGTAAGGCCGCTTCCTCCACAGTCGAAGCCGCCGACTCCTCTAATTAAATCGAAGTCTATGCGACTTACTTAAATTCATGAGAATCGAGTAGAAGGGCATGCAAGCATACATGCGCACATACATACAAACATGTAGGCAAAAATGCAAATAGCCACATATTCATACATACATACATACATACATACATACATACATACATACATACATACATACATACATACATACATACATACATACATACATACATACATGCATACATACATACATAAATACATACTTACATACATACATACATACATACATACATACATACATACATACATACATACATACATACATACATACATACATACATACATACATACATACATACATACATACATACATACATACATACATACATACATACATACATACATAAATACATACATAAATACATACATAAATACATACATACATACATACACACATACATGCATACATACATATATACATAAATACATACATACATAAATACATACATACATAAATACATACATACATAAATACATACATACATAAATACATACATACATAAATACATATATACATATGTATGTATGTGTGTACGACACACATACATACATACATACATACATACATACACACATACAAACACACATACATACACATATACATACACATTCCTACATATACGCATACATTTGAAAATTAATATGAAGACGGTAAACAAACATGTTTCAAACATTTGATATTTGCATTAACAAAATATACAAGGTATATACAATAATATAGCGTATTTATTATTCAAATCTAAGCTTTATTCGAACTGCGCATACTCGAAAAGATTGACTGATGATCAGTCAGTCCGTTAGCTAATCAATCAGGCAGACTAAAACATGCAGCCTGGTTTTACAAGAATATCTTCTATTTACTGTTGAGTTCATTTATTTATAATATTTTCGAGTAGCGCATACTCTTATAGTTTGATTGATCATCAGACCGTCAATCAGCCTGATTGAGGCAAAATATAATAATTTAATGATAAAGGCTATTTCTACAAAAATATCATGTATTTATTGTTCGACTTTAGGCTCTACTTGTATATTCGAATAAGCATACTCGTCTAGTTGGGTATACCAAAAAAAAAAAAAAAAAAAACAACAAAAACAAAAAAGAAAAACTAAACAGAACCATTTGATTTACATGTAGGACTTGTTGAGGTCAATCTTTTGGTCTTGTTTAGCTTTTGGATTCAGTACAGAATAGTAAATCGATTAAATAGAAACCATAATTCTAAGCCCACAATCGTGTATGCGCGTGTGGGCGGTGTTTCGGCAAGTGGGCGTTACATGGTTGAGTGCGCCCAAACATGCGAATGCGAATGTTCATCAATTTGTGGCGCCGCAACTGGCGACGGCAGATCCAAATGAAAGGGGATTTCAAAGGCGCGAAATGCCCTCATTTGCATAGAGCTGGCCATTTTCGGACGATGGAGCTGTGCTTACGACTGCGATTGTGCTGGTGGTCGTGGTGGGCGTGGTTGGTGCGGTGGGTGTGGTTGGGCTTCCTGTCGTATCGGCATCGGTTGTGCTAACCGTATCTTTGGCGTCCAAGTGCAGCGTAAGACGCTGCGGCGCATCATCGAAACGCACCTTGGCGTCCGGCTTGAAAGCGCACAATGCAGAAACCAACGGCGTCTCATCCGTGGCCAGCATTTCAGTGCGCCGCAAATCCGAGCTGAGGGCCTGCAGCGTGCTGAGGCAGCGCTTAAAGCTGGGTCTCTCCCAGGGCTCAGAGCGCCAGCATTGCAAGAGCAGCGCATAACTGTGGACAGCATAAATGGGACAGTGATTGAGTAGAGAGAAGTTAACTGGAAGAGCTGGCCCACTTACAGCTTCTCGGGACAGCGCTCCGGCTGCTGCAGCCGTCCGCCCTCCTTGACATGGGCGAGCACCTCGAAGTTGTTGCGCGCCGCATACGGTTGCTGGCCGAGCGTGAATATCTCCCAGCAGAGCACACCGAAGGCCCACACATCTGACTGTGTGCTAAAGAGGCCATCCACCAGGCTCTCGAGCGCCATCCAGCGCACGGGCAGCAGTCCCTCGCCCTCCTTCCGGTAATAGTCGCTCTTGTAGATGTCGCGTGCCAGCCCAAAGTCGCCAATTTTAACAATGCGCCGTCCGCCAATTGCGGCTCCATCCGACACCAGACAATTGCGGCAGGCGAGATCGCGATGCACAAAGTGCATATCCTCCATATAGCTGCAGCCATTGGCCACGTCCAGGCACATGCTCAACAGCTCCGGCAACTGCAGCTTGGATAGCGCTTCCTGCAAACGAACCATCAATAAGAGTGCTCGACTAGAATATTCCCTGTAGCCACACACACATTCTAGCTGAATCTCTACTATTGCTTGATTCCACATTTTCAGATATGGAATTCTCGAGGATCTTCGGTGTTTATGGTCCGATCATAATAATTTCAGCGTATAAATATGGCATCAGAGTGCTCAAGTCAAGTGCTCGACTAGAGATATCCTGTATCCGGCTGCCACAACACACTCACATTTGTCTCTCTTCTGTCTACTTTTCTTTGGTTCCACATTTTCAGTTATGGCATTCTCGAGGAACTTTGGTGTTTATTGTCCGATCTTTGTAAAACTTTCAGCGTGTAAATATGGCATCAAAATGTTGGTACATACAAAAGCTGAATGCGGAACCTCTAAAAATCCTTTTGATTTTGGAATAGTTTTAATTGGAGGCATCCAAAAAGGGGCTTAATCCTCATCCATATTGTGGTGTATCTAGCATTTATAATCTTCAACATGTACATATATCTTCGGGAACTCACTGACTATTCCCCGCTATGAGCTCTAAATATATCCATATGGTATCTCTTTATCCTATCTACTTAACGCTTTATATATCTAGTCGGTGATGCTTTTAGGTTTTTAGTATTTAATTTTCATGATTTGATGTATTAAATAATTAGAAAGACACTCGTGTTTGTCGACCATTAACAAATAAATTAAATAAAGTAAATAAAAAAAACCTTGTTTCGATATTTTACGATATTTGGAAAACGAAAGGAGAGACCGAGGAACCTGCCTAGACGAACGCAGTGCGTCCTGATCAAGATTAAAGGCATGGACATACTGTGCGTCACATGCATATGCACAAAAACAGTTTACCCTTTACCCATTTGCAATGGCTACAGCGTATAATAAATATTAATGCTTGCTCGCTCACCTGTGAACTGGGCCTTGCCGCACGCAAATAGCTGAGCAAATCGCCGGCCTCCATGTGCTCCATAATCAGCGATATGGAGTCCGTGTCACAGCAGATGCCAATCAGGCAAACGATGTTTTCGTGCTTGAAATTGCTCATCAGCTGCGCTTCCTGCAGCAGCTCCGCGAACTCGCTGGCGCCCTTGCGCAGACTCTGTAAAGGCGAGGAGAATCCTTGAATTGTGGCAAAAAAAAAAACTGCTGCTCCACTCACCTTGATGGCAACACGCTGCGGCTGCGCCTCGTCCTCGGCCTGCAGCTGACCCTCGTACACCTCGCCAAAGGCGCCGCTGCCCAGGAAACGCAACAGCGTCAGCCGGTTCCAGTTGATCTGCGGCAGCAGCGCAATGTCCGCATCGCTCAGCGACATCGAGAAGGTGCGACTCCGTGCGGCCAGCAGCTGCTGCTGCGTCTGCAGAGCCGAAAGATTGCTCCAGATGCTTGGGCGGCTCTGCTGCAGCAGCTTTTTGGCGCGATGACGACGCTTTTGCACTGCAAAATCGCAGATTTACTAATTAGCGAGTCTTGTGTATGTGACTGACTGATTGATTGATTGATTGAATGAAAGGGTCATGATTGATTAGGCTGACTGATTGAGTGAATGATTAAACATTTTTCTGATCTGCTTATTGATTTAATGAGCCATTGACTGATTGATTGATTGATTACGCGTTAATTGATTGATTGACTGACTCATATTCGATTGATTTACTGATTAATTTCAGACTGGCTGACTGATTGTCCGGAATATCAATTGACTACGTGAGTATTGGCTGATTGACTGATTGAATCATGATGGATTAGGTGGCAGACTATTTACGATTGATTGATTGACTGGCATCCTGATTAACTGTTTATCTGCCTAATTGACTGCTTGCCTCACTTAATTACTTTGAGATTGGGTGATCAAAAATTTTCCAAATGATTGATTTGATTGGCCGTTTGACTGACAGATTCATGAACCTTCAATTCACAGTTATACTAGACAGTCTGCTGAACTGACTGATTAATTGGCCAATTACTTGATTAACATTGATTTCTTGACTAGTTAAACGACAAATTATCAAGCTGACGGATTGATTGGTTATCATAGTTGACTGATAACCTACGGACTACTAATTGAGTGATTGCTGGATTGACTGGTTAATTGGCTGAATGGCAATACCAGATGGATTGAGCGATTGATTGATCGACTGATTGACAAAAAGACAGACTATTTGATTGACTAACTTACTTATTTAGCCACTCATTTTCTTATCGATTGATTCTTCGACTGAAAGATTGACAAACTGACCGACGACTAGTTGAATGATTGACTGATTGACGGGCGGAAAAAGGGTGAAAAATATTCATTTTGAACTTACATTTGCGCACGAGCACCAAGGCGAGCACACAGCTGGAAACAATGGCAGCGGGCGCAATGATGGCCAAGACGAGGGAGCCGCGCTTCTCGGGCGAGACAAAGGGCTCAGCGATGCGTTCACTGTCCTCGCTGTAGGGTCCCCAGCCGTGCGGCCGATTGCGGGCACGGACGCGAAACAGCAGCAGGCGACGGGTATGCAATTCGCGCACAATGCAACTCAGCTCGGTGGTATTACAAAAGTCCAACCACTGATCCTCGATGACCAGCGGCTCCTCGGCCCAGGGCAATAGGGAAAGCGTAGTCTCTCGGCGCCGCCGCCGACGACGATTGGTGCGCCGGGCCTGCAGAGCCTCCAAATTGTATAGCAAAATGGGTGAGCCGTTGTCCAGAGCTGGCGTCCAGCTGACGCGAAAGATTTCGCCGGCTATATGCTCCAGCTGCGGCCGACCCGGCGCGCTGGGCGCATCACCCAGCGTTTCGTACTCATGACTGGGACCAAAGTAAATGGG